AAGGGATTTAAGAAAGACAGAGCAGAAAAGGAGTGGTGGATTAAAAAAACACAAAAAAAATCTCTGGAAAAAAGGTAGAGAAAACACAATCAGATAGACCTGCCACTATAAGTACAGCGGTAAGTGAAAAGAGAAAGCAGCCAAATAGCAGATTAATCTGGATTTGGATCAACTGAATGAGGAAACTATAGAAGGAAAAAGAGTCAGGGAGGAAGGAGGGAGGAGAGAGAGAGACTCTAAGACAGACAGAGAGAAAGAGAGAGAGGGGGAGAGAGTCAAAATGCAGAAAGAGGACGGAGTGATTTGGGTTGGAAGCGGGAGCAGGGAACCAGGGTTGGCAGGGTTTTGGTGGAGGAGTGTGGTGGTTCAGAAGTCCTCCAGCGCGAGGCGCCAGTGTGTCCGGCGGAGGCCCCGACCATGAGCTGCCTCACCCCCCCAGAGCCACGGCCACAAACCCCCTCTCTCCCTTCACCACCAGCACCGCCACCCATCCAACCAAAAACCCACTGGCAGGCAGCGCTTCACTGAAGCTGCTGCTGCATGTTTATTTAATATTCTGAAGAAATTGAAATATCTTTGTGGGTTAACACACATAGATACACAATTACATATCACTCACCCCCCTGACACACACACACACACGCACACACACACACTGAGGCCTACAAACACGCACACATACATTCACACACATTCACACACCACAATATATAAATAAATAAAGCAGAGTAATAATGTTCTCTTGATCTGTGGCCAAGAATAGAGTTGGAGAAAATATTTTTCAAATGGTGTTTTCAGAAGTGTAGAGGGAGGAGCGTGAATGTCTGACACTGCATGATGCCTGAGCGGGCAGCATGTCTCGGACCGACTCCCACAGAGGAGAGAGAGAATTACCAAAGTATCTGACAAACAAGAAATAGTTCCCATGTGATGTGACGGGAACAGTGTGACAGAGAAAAAATAAATAAAGCCTAACATTTAAACTTGCTGGTAGAAATGAATATCGGCTCCATTATACATGGATGGTGTTGAGTCTATATTAAACTAAGCATTTCACATGTAAAGCAATTTAGCAACTCTGAGTGTGTGGTCTACGAATGAGAACATGTATATGAGGTGTTTGTGAAGTGCTAAATGAATAAATGTGCATGCCAGTCTCTCTCTCTATTTGTGTATGGGTGCACACCTCCATAATGAGTTTCTGATCATTACAAAGCAATTTCTTCAGACAGAAATTCTTTAAACAGCCTCGGTTTTTGGGCTTTATGCTATCCCCCTCCTGTCTCCTCTCTCCTCAACAGCCACCAACCACTGCTGCTGCCAAAAATAACACAGGAGCGCCACTCGAACCCGCGCCTCACCACAGCACAGCTTGGCCGCAAGAGAGGGATCAAAACACACACAAAAAAGGAAACACATCATATTGTGGAAGGAGGGAAAAAGAGCATTCATACAGCTCCATGCTTGAAGATATTTACTGATGATTTTGGCAACTAAACCACATATACTAATGTGCCAGGCCAAGACAAGGAAAAGAAAAGTGTGTTTGTGGATGTGTGTGTCAATGTGTGAGAATACATTTTGGATGTACATTAGCTGCTAAGATGGTATTCATTTCTGATCTCATTCAACCACAAGCTCAATAAAAACACTTAGATATCACATTATAGGTCAATATATTTGGCCGTTTAATTGACAAATCAAAGGCCCAGCAAACAAGGAGAATGAACACTGAAAGTATGAAAAATGAGCACGAGGGGTCACACATGAATCATGGGGCTTTGATTGAAGGTCAGGGAGTTCAAATCGGAGCTGACTTCACTCATTGTCATGGCCAGTTCACTTTGTGTTACACTTGGCAAAATGTGCTTATCCACACTGAAACGCTGATGCCAGTGAATGAAGCCATCAGAACCCCAAGCTCTATTTCAATGGTGGCCAGCAGGGGTTTACGAGCAAACCATCATGGGATTCATTTTCAAGCCACAGAAATAAAGGAAAAGATGGAAAGGTGGAAAATACGGAAATATTTTATGGAAGTTTGCTATAGTTGGGGCAGGAGGTTCTGAACCTCAGGTCCAAAGGGGTCTGCAGGACAGCTCTGGGAATATTCACCAAACCAAAGGGATCCAAAATAAGCAAGGAAACCACCAAAATGTAAGTTGACCTTAAACGTTTTCTATTTATATTTAAATAAATGCAACATTCCAACTCCTCCACACACAACACAGACACTAAAGTGGAACGTTTGGTTGTGCCGTGCAGGCTATATGGGGCATTTATACCGAATTAGTACAAAGTGCGGTCCCACAACAAGAAAAAGTATTCAGACATATATTTACTAAGAATATGTTATGGTCTATTTAAACACAAGGCATTACATTAGATAGTGATAAGCTTAATATATAAACATCATTTATAGGGTACTTTCTATTGGGAAGTAGCTGTCCCCAACCCTGACATCTAAATTTCAATTTCTGTAAATAACACTTAAAAAAATGTTTTTATTTTTGTTCAATGGTGTATTTAGAAGATCTTTATGATTACGTTCAAACAGAAGTTGGAATATTTTTTTATTTATTGTGGGTATCGTTTTTTAATAAAAAAAACTATACTCAAAAAATCATGTCCCCAGTTTTCATGTCACTACCGAAACACAAGGGGTTTTAGTCCAATGGCTGAGCCAGATTTTTAGCCACACCCCTGCATTTTTGACAAGGCAGTGACACTGCATCCCTGTCCCTCATGGCTGAATGGCCAGTAGCTATATCCCATACTTTTGATATAAATCTGTTCCAAAATCTGAAAATCGGCTTGTAACCTTAAGAATTGTCACTAGATATGATCTTCAATTAAGTACACTTTTTCGAGGTTTTATGCAAAGTATTAGGTTTGTATGTGTGTAAACCTCTTCAAAAACGTGTGCTAGCCATGTACATGCTAGCATTCTTTAGTTATGCTCAATTTGAGCTAGAATCGTCACTACCGAAACATATGGTTACGTTTCGGTAATTGACATGATCGTTTCGGTAGTGACAAAATGGAATGGTAAGCAGGTAAATCCCACCATTTTGAAATACCCAATAGGCACTTTATTAAGTATGCAGATGATACGGCCCTGGTCAGCCTCCTCTTTGATGAGGAAGAGGAGCATGGGCCTGTCCTTGACTTCTTTATTAACTGGTGTGAGAAGTCAAACCTGCTTCTAAACACCTCAAAAACAAAGGAGATGGAAATTGATTTTAGAATAGCACAATCGCCCAACCCTACTCTTTTATTAAATAGCGAGCCCATTCAATGTGTCACTGAGTACAAGTATCTTGGTGTCGTGCTTGACCACAAGCTCAGATGGGATGTTTGGTCTGAGAAAATAAATGCTAAGTCTCAACAAAGAATGTTTTTTTTACGTAAATTATTGTCTTTTAATGTCGGCAACAGAATGGTGAAGATGTTTTATCATGCTTTTATCGAAAGTGTGCTCTCCTTCGGCATTATATGCTGGTTCGGCAACGCAACTGAGGCACAGAAAAAGTCAGTCAGGAGGGCCATAACATTGTCCAGTAAATTGACAGGAATCTCATTTGCTAATATAGAATGCTTATATAAGGACAGAGTTTTAAAATCGGCACACAATATTGTGAGTGACCTGAGGCACCCTCTTGCCTCTTACTTTGAACTGTTGCCATCCGGGCGGAGATATCGTGCCCCTTATTTAAAAAAGAACAGATCTCGGCTGTCTTTCGTCCCACAAGCCATCAAACTCCTGAATAAATGATGGCTAGGACGCACTGTTTACCCAGCTGGTCTGGCCCTGTCCCCCCTATTTCGCAAATGAGGGCCTATAGGCCCCTTGTCATGTCTGCCGATATCTGGTTTTCTTATGTCTGTTTGTTTTTATCTGTGTCTATGTTGTTGTCAGTGATATATTGTCTTGACTTTTTAAATGCCTCTGTGATGTGCTGCAACTCATTTTCCCCTCGGGGACTAATAAACGAATACTACTATACATGTGTTTTAAAGTCTGAAAATCAGTGTGTTACTTTAAAGGTCACTTATTATACTATTGTTAGGCATATATTATAGGTCTCAGATATATAAAAAACATGTCTATGAAGTGTTTTGCTCAAAATACCAAACAGATCATGCATTCTAGCCTCATCCCCCTCTATTTCAGCCTGTTACTAAAGTGCTGATTCTGGGTCAGTAGCTTCAAACATTCACACTTCAACATAAGGCATGTCAAAAGTATATTGAGTTATCAACTAAAATGATATGATACTGATTGGTTTAATGTATGTTCAATTTCAACAATCATCAACTCTGGAATCAATATGATCAGTATTATGCATTTTGCAAAGAAAGTTTGCATTATGATTTTTATGAATTGTATAAATTGAACTTTGATTAAAAATGCACTTATATTAATTTAATTGTGAAAACCCTCAAGAAATATTTGTTAAAATACTATTTAGAGAAGGGAAGGTAAAACAATCATAACCGGTTAATATAATACTTTTTTACTACAGTTTCGGTAGTGACCATTGTTGGTAGAGGAAGAACATTCCAATGCAGCATGAAAATACGATATAACAATGTACGGTTATTTTACTAGATATGTGTAATTTAGATATGGTACAAAATATATAGGCCTATGGACAAGGTTTTGGGGGAAAAAACATACAACATTTCAAAACATTTCCAACCTGACTTTGGTCCAATTCGGTAGAATGGCCCATATAGGCCTGTTTCCAACCAATTCTGTCTGTCTGTGTATTCCTGTGTGTATGTTTTTTTTGTACACTATGTTGCTTCAACATGATGTAGTTAAATGTTGATTAGAGCTGGAGCTGCAGTCTCCAGGGCTGCAGGAACATTTTACTCGGTGCCAGGGCCCCAAAGTACTGACGAAGCCCCGATAGAGAAGCTTGTCGGATGTGCAGACCAGTGACTGACTGGCGCCCTCTTATGGTGACTATCAGTTATAACAAGTTACTGCACTGAGAGCCAGCAGCATGCAGAAAGTTGTGGACCCAAACAAATCTTCATCGCTGTAGCCTTTAATTTACCGTTCAGCTCAACTGGCCATCCAAGCAGAAACCATTATTAAATGATAGGATGATGACTTGCGGACACGCAGAACAAAACGATGCGGAAAACAACTAACATGTATACAGGTACAGTTGGTACTGGCACTTACTTGAATACTTCTGGTACTTTATCTTCCAACGCAGTTGTCTTGAGAGCAGCAGTTTGAAGATGCTAATATGGTGGCTAGCTAACGTTAGCTGCAAAAAAAAACATCCGTTACACTCACAAAGTACGTTCATTTTGTTTTCTCATTGGTAGTTCTTGCACTGACGTTAATAAAACCGTGAAGGGAAGCATTTTCCCTTTGGTAATGACTTTACATCAGTAAAGCTAATTTAACTGAATTTAGCAAGGTGCGTGTAAGCTAGGACCATGGATTTATCAGAGAACATCCATGATTATAACTCGGTTGTACTTTTTGCATAATTTGGAATGGACGAATTCTACTTTTGATATAATGTTTATACTTTGTCCTGCAACTGCAAACTACATTTTCCCGTATGTGAAGTGCAAGTGACTATTCACCTGTTTCTGTTGTGATGAAACGAGGTTATATTTAACTTTAGCCTCGCAAACTGAAAAACTACAACCATGTCGGTGTTTTCCGGTGTACAAAACGAACCAACCCAAAGCGCCCACGGACCAATGAGAAATCGAGTTTTGTGGGACTCCGTCATACGTCATAACTGTGCTCCGCTGCGATCTGTCGGAGGAGTGGAGGGGTCTGCTCTTCACATGTCTCTGCCTCATCGTCTGTTGGGGAATATACCGTCTAATGAAACCGAGTGGGGGGGGGGGGATTAACCATCCGGTACCGGTCTGCGTGAAATAGGGAATGAACGACGAGACAGCACCGGACAGCTGGAAGACAAACTCCGGGTGCTCCAGGTGTGCAGCTAAGCTAGCATAGCACTGTGGCTAGCGGGGGGCAGTCTGATAAATAGACACTTTTATTGACACATTTTCTGAGTGTCTGCCACAACAACGCTACTGTTTTAAATTCTGAAAACACGTCGACATTTCGTTAAAATGAATTATACTCCGCTAGCTACAAAATAAGGTGCCAAATGTCTGAATGAAATAGATCCTGTTGCCCCCCTGAGTTTACTGTCATTGGTGCATCTCCTATCAAAACATTCGTGATCATTAATTAAATCTCTACTCATTTATGTAATACATATTTGCTTGTTGTATCTAGAGACCATGCTATTAGTCCCAAGTTACAGCAACTTCCTTAGCACTTATTTAACCTGCCCTCCTTCATAAACGTAAAACATCACATGTGAATATAACACAACACAATTCTGACAAACCACATCCTGCATCCAGCAAAATGAGCATACATTTGAATCAAGCTCGCCCAAACTGAACGAAGGTAGTATTAAAGTACTGTTGTGTTAGACTGCATGAGTTTTAGCTACAGTAGGTGTATCTAATAATAAACTGGTTATTGAGTGTACTTACAACCATGTTGACCGGACAAACTTCAAATATTTGTGTAACCTCACCTAAAACCAGTCGTCATTATATGTAGTCATGATGTTGTTGTTTTTTATTTTATTGACTTTAGATTTACAGTTGCGATGCTGAGATATCCATTGCCACAATTTGAGGTAATGGTTACATTCAGTAAGTTGAATCAATTTGTGTAAGCTGGACATTGTTTCTGGCATTACTGCAACGTCAATGCATTTTGAAAAGGAATTGTTTTATATTAGCTTGGATACCTGAAAGCCTTTTGTAATTTGGGTGAGTTAATCTTCAGTTAGACTAGCCTAAGTGCAAAAATTACAGCATTCAACAAAATGAATGAAATCCACAGGACATTTCTGAATTATACAATGCATGCTAATAAGCGTTTCTTGAAAGGTATGATCGACACCATTTTCTAACGCCCTTTCCAAATGTAATCAACAGTTGCTCAACAGTCCATCTAATGCTGGCTTTTTCTTTTGTTAAGTATTGAGCAAATGCTGGCTGTGAGTCCCGGAAAGACGCCTATCAGTCTGCTGCAGGAGTATGGAACGCAGATAGGCAAGACCCCAGTGTATGACCTGCTGAAGGCTGAGGGACAGGCCCACCAGCCCAACTTCACGTTCCGCGTCTCCGTCGGAGAGATCAGCTGCACCGGCCAAGGGCCCAGCAAGAAGGCAGCCAAGCACAAAGCAGCCGAGGCTGCTCTGAAGATGCTCAAGGCAGATCTCGGAAATCCCGTCGGACTGGGTGTTGGAGAAGAAGGGTTTATTGGAGTAAAAGTATCAACGGATGTAGAGAGGTCAGTTTCTTTTCAAGTTTTTTATTTCTTTGCACTTACTTTTTAGTTAAAATGATTAAAACCACCAGACAGTTTTATCCCACAGGCCATAAGACTGCTAAACACCACATTTATCTAAATAGCTATCACCTCAATAAACCGTATTTAATTTCGTCTTAATGTACTATATTTAATTTCACATTCTGTTCTTGTATATAACATATTCAGTTTACATACATATTTGTTATTTTGTATTTTATTATATATGTTGCATCGTTGGAGGAGCTCGGGTCATAATATTTTCATTGCCATTGCTTTGAATGTTAACATCAGCTGATAAAACATCTCAGTGTTCTAAGAATTGAGTGAATTTAAGATGGATGTCTGTGTGGTTTCGTGACTTCCCTTCTCTTCTGTACAGCCCTCAGGCAGAGATGAAGACATCAAGCACTTCTCAGCAGTCTGAGTGTAACCCTGTTGGAGCTCTGCAGGTGAATACACACGGATAACTCCTGTAGTTTAAGGTTTTAAATCATGAAAAACTTCCGATATAGTTGCATGCCTTTTTGTTTTCATGAGTAATGTATGAGTTTACATCTCTGCCAGGAATTGGTGGTGCAGAAAGGATGGCGTTTGCCAGAGTACACCGTCACCCAGGAGTCTGGTCCAGCACACCGCAAGGAGTTCACGATGACCTGCAGAGTCGAGAGATTTGTGGAAATCGGTAATATGCACAATGTGTCATTGTTTGAGATTGTTCTGTGTATGTTAAAAGCCTCTGCCTCTTAGATTAAATCAACTTTCAGCAATATAAACATTGTTGTTAACATGCCATGCAAACCCTGAGTCAGTGTGGACATCCTCAATGATGAAACATTTATTTAAGCACTTGTGGATGAAAAACTGCTGACAGAGAACTGAAATGGAAATTAAAGAAAAGCAAACGTGCAGCCTTTTACAGGGTGGTAGTGTAACTACTGACCTTCATTGACCTTTACTTGCAACTAGTGCTGTCAAAATTATCGCGTTAACGGCGGTAATTAATTTTTTGAATTAATTGCGTTAAAATATTTAACGCATTTAACGCATGTGCAGAATGGCCCGCCCCATACGTGCCACCAGTGGCAGCGCCAGGGTATGGCTGGGGTAGGCTACACCCATACCAAGAAATGGCTTAGCCCCACCATGCAAAATGATGTTAAAGGAAGCAAAATAAAGTCTGCCAACTCGCGCGGAGTAAATTGCACAGACAGCAGTTAGTAAGATTGATTTCAGTAGCCACGGTTTTGAAAACTTTTGTCACGTAGTGATTGTCTTCTCAATAGAACATCTTTGATAACGGCGTGGTGTTGTTGCAGGAAGTCCCGACGGAGAATACTTTTGCTGTAGTACAGGGGTGCACATAACTGGTACGCAGGTTATGTGCGTAATCTCTCTGAAATGCGTACCGTCACTTGTGTCACAAAGCGCATTTGCGTACCGACGTACTTGTGAAGCTTTTCCAGAAGGCGGTTAGATCACCGGACGACAGAGTCGGTCTCCGTGTGCACAGACAGGGCTGCTGTTAACGTCGGTCTGTACAACGGAATTGTGCCAAAACTACACCAACCGGCTACGGAGGGAGACTCCCCCCCCCATTCACTGGAGAACTGCGCTAAAACAGCTGATCACAACGTTCACACTCTGTGGTCACGAAGTACTCCACTAGCCGCCCCCCCCCCGTCCCCCCGTCGACTTTCCTGAAGTACTCCCCCGTTGATAGAAATCAACACGTAATGAATTAAGACCCCACGGTTTGATGATTGATAGGTGTGTGGGTTGTCTTTCATTTTGACACGCAGAAAAATGTTATAATAAACATAGATACTGTATGTTAAATGGATATATCCGCCTTCTTTCATTTATCTTTCCATTCCCACAACAATATGCATAAAGAAATGGCATATTTTGGACATAGTTCTGACTTATCTTATCTTTCTTACAGTGCAGACGCTTTTCTGCTTGCTCTTGCCTCTGCTTACTTTTTATGCTGATTTTCCTATTCTTATTCTCTGAAAACTTCGAGCAGCGGCTCCTGGACATTAACTTATCACTGGGACAGTTCATCTTCGTAAATAGACGGAGGGTTTCAGCCATATTTCAACATTTTTACGACGACGTCAGTCTTACAATAGCGTGGCCTAGCAACAGCTAAAGCCTGGTAGGCTACTGCATGCTATTTAGCTAGTTGGTAGCAAAATGCCTCCGTTCTCTACAGATGACTTCCAGAAACTTATACAGAAGATGGCTGTGTTGGAAATGAAAATGCAACGGTTGGAAGTTAACGTGGAAGTGAATGGACTATGTCGTGGGAATGACACGACTTTACCAGTGTTGCAAAATAATGGAGAAGGGTATGGTAACTCACAGCTAGTTAGCAGCTACAAGGATTCCAAGGAACAGGAGGGCTGTGTACCGGGTAATAAATCTACAAGTGGTAGTCCTCCCTGGAACTCTCTGGGTACAAAGCCTAAGAGTAAATCATTTCCATGGGATTTGGGAGGACGGATAACAGGCAGAGCCCAGAGCTCCGAAATCTGTGATGCGACCGGCTGGCCTGCATTGTTATCACCCAGGAAGAGCGCCTCTTCAACCCCTATTCATACTAGGAAACAGCAGTGGACAGCTGCTAAAGGGAGAATTACAAACAATCCTCCTAAACCACCAAGTGTGCCAATCCAGAACAGATACGCTCCGCTGACCGAGAACCGGAGATCTGATGACCTGGATAACCTGTCCTCTTCACGCAGCAGGGTAAGGACCAATAGCTACTCTAAAAGTAAAAGGCTAGAGGGAAAGCTAACGACTGGGCCTGAAACTCTGATTGTGGGTGACTCTGCTGTAAGAGATGTAAAAGGTCTGTGTAATAAGAACAACACCAAAGTACTCTGTTTTCCCAAGGATGTGGTCTCTGACTCGGCTGAGAAGATCCTGCATATTGGGGCTGAACATCCGACTGTGAAGAATGTGGTACTGCACATTGGAACAAATGATGTTGTGAAACAACAGTCAGAAGTGCTGAAAGAAGACTTTAAATGTTTGTTGGAAACTGCCAGCTCTCTAAATGCAGAGGTGTTCATCAGTGGCCCTCTACCGCCAGTCAGAAGAGGAGTGGAGAGATTCAGCAGATTGTTTGCACTGAACACCTGGATTTCAACGGCCTGTACTGATCATTCTGTTCATTTTATTGACAATTTTAACTTTTTCTGGGATCGCAGACATCTTTTCAAGGCAAATGGAGTTTGCCTGAACAAATCAGGAGTGAAATTGTTTATCTCTAACATATTCAACTGCCTGCGTCATCAATCTGTTCCTTATGCCAAGGACAAGCGGCAAGAGGAATCAAAACAGGAGAAAGACACAACACATCACGCAGAAAACCCTGAAGAATTATCACTGCACCCGCCTGAGGAATGTTCTGATTATGGGAGACCTATGAGACAAATGGAGGAGTCTCCACTGCCCGTCACCCAACCCCCCCGTCAACGCCTTTGAGGATACTCCGTTCACCCTTTCACCCTCGCCCACCCTCCTGGAGATCGATGAACACACAAAGGAGATACAGAGGGTTGGCACCGATTCCTTCCTGGAGTTCAAAGACCAAACGAAGGCGATACGCAGGGCTGGCACCATGTCCTTTACCCCCGCTCCTCAACGACGCCCAACAAAATCACCGCGGAGACGCGCACCATCTCCCCCATCCTCATCACCGCGCCTACGTCAACCACCTCCCCCCCCTGGCAGCATGTCCTCTACCCCCGCACCATCTCGCCCGTCTCCATCACCGTGCCTACGTCGACCACCTCCCCTCCCTTCGAGGGGGCATCTGCAGTCTCCGAAGCCTGATAAGGATGTGTGTGTACAAAACACAACAAACTCTTACTGATATGTGATGGGTCCAGGCTCAAGGGCGTATGGCACTCTCAACTCTTTCCAGGACATGTCGGGGCCCTGCCTGCCAGTAGCTTTGCCGATATCTGTGTTGATAGGTAATAGATTAAGAGCGGTGAATCATCTTATATACAGGAAGCGCTCAAACGTTTGTGTGAGTGTATCTAATTTAGCAGTGATTCCATGTCAGCCACAGCTTGTTACAAAAAACATGACTGATAGTGTGTTTAACAAACTTAAACTAGCTTTATTAAATGTCAGGTCTTTGGCAGGAAAAACATTTTTAATCAATGATTTTATCACTGAGCACAATCTCGATTTTATGTTTTTAACAGAAACTTGGATTGAACAAAATAACAGTGCAGCTATTCTTATCGAATCAACCCCTCCCAACTTTAGTTTTATGAGTTAGGAAAGAATGCATAAGAAAGGGGGTGGAGTTGCTATTCTGTTCAATGATTCCCTTCAATGCAGGAAGACATCGTATGGAAACTTTGATTCTTTTGAATATGTGGCCCTTCGGCTGAAATGCTCCTCTCGAGCTCTGTTCCTAAATATCTATAGACCACCCAAATACTGTGCAAGCTTTTTTGATGACTTTACTGAACTGCTGTCTATAGTGTGTATTGACTTTGACCGTCTAGTCATTGTTGGTGATTTTAACATCCATGTTGACAACCCCCAGGACAGAGGGGCTAAAGAACTATTTTGTGTTCTTGATAGCTATGGACTGACTCAGCATGTGACGGAGCCCACGCACAATAAGGGGCACACTCTGGACTTAATTATCTCAAAGGGTCTGAATATCTCTAAGGTTGTGGTGACTGATGTTGCACTCTCTGACCATTCCTGTGTTTTCTTTGAGAGCTCTATTTCTGTTCACAAAAATGTTCAAAAAGAGGTAACCACAAAGCGATATTTAACTGAAAATACTAGGGAAATGTTTACTCAGAATTTCTCTTCCACACTTGCCCCTGCCAACATCTCAGTAAATGAGCTAGTAGATCATTTTAATTCAAAAATTTAAAATGTTATAGATGCCATTGCTCCAACTAAGGTAAAGGAAGTGACTGGCAAGAAAATATCTCCATGGAGAAAGGCCATGAGCGTGAAAACAGAAAAAAGAGAATGTCGAAAAGCTGAACGCAGGTGGCGAAAAACAAATCTCCAGGTTCACTTTGAAATCTATAAAGAGAGACTTGGCCTTTATAATTTGGAATTGAAAAACGCACAACAATCGTTCTTCTCTGACATCATTACTAAAAACAAAAACAACGCACGTGCCTTGTTTGCTACCGTCGACAGACTAACTAACCCCCCAGTGTCAGTAGCCTCTGAATTTCTATCCACCAGGGCGTGAAATGATTTTGCCTCCTTCTTCACTGACAAAATTCAGAAAATCAGACAAGCAGTCAGTGCCTCTGCATCAGGAACAGCAAATGTGTTGTCCCTATCTCCACTTAACATCAATTCAGACATCATGACACAATTCCATCAGATTAATGATAAAAACCTAGAGGACATTATACAACTTCTGAAATCCTCCTCCTGCTGCCTTGATATTATTCCAACAGGATTTTTCAAAGATGTTTTGCCTTGCATGGCCTCAGATCTACTTCATATAGTAAACAAATCTCTTCACTCAGGTATTTTTCCACAGGCCCTGAAAACTGCAGTCATTAAACCGCTCTTAAAAAAGAATAATCTAGATGCTTCAGTAATGAACAATTACAGGCCCATATCAAACCTCCCATTTCTAGGTAAAATCATTGAAAAAGTTGTTTTTCAACAGTTGAGTAATTTCTTTCATTTAAATAACTGTTTCGATGTGTTCCAGTCAGGCTTTTGTCCAAACCACAGCACTGAGACTGCTCTTGTAAAGGTCTTTAATGACATCCACTTAAACACAGACAGTGGCAGAACTTCAGTGTTAGTATTATTAGATCTCAGTGCTGCGTTTGACACTGTTGACCACAGCATATTACTAGACCGACTGGAGAACTGGGTGGGACTTTCGGAAACAGTTCTGAATTGGTTTGAATCCTACTTAAAGGACAGAAATAACTTTGTTTCTATAGGTAAATACACATCTGAGTTGACAAATATGACATGTGGGGTTCCTCAAGGCTCCATCTTGGGGCCTCTTCTCTTTAACATCTACATGCTACCACTGGCTCAGATAATGAAGAACAACAAAATAAGTTACCATAGCTATGCAGATGACACACAAATGTACGTAACAATTTCACCAGGAGACTATGCTCCAATTCAAACACTGAGTAAGTGCATTGAACAAATCAATGACTGGATGTGTCAGAACTTTCTCCAATTAAACAAAGATAAAACTGAGGTAATGGTTTTTGGAGCCAAGGCAGAACGTATCAAAGTTAGCGCTGAGCTTCAGCCTGCAATGTTCAAAACAACAGATAAAGCCAGAAATCTAGGTGTAGTCATGGACTCTGACCTGAGTTTCAACAGTCACATTAAAACTGTTACTAAATCAGCCTACTATCACCTAAAGAATATATCTAGGATTAAAAGACTAATGTCACAGCAGGATTTGGAAAAACTTGTCCATGCTTTTATCTTCAGTAGACTCGACTACTGTAATGGTGTCTTCACAGGTCTCACTAAAAAATCTATTAGGAAGCTGCAGCTGATTCAGAACGCCGCTGCTCGAGTCCTCACTAACACTAAGAAAGTGGATCACATCACTCCAGTTCTGAAGTCTTTACACTGGCTTCCTGTGTGTCAAAGAATACATTTCAAAATACATAAAGCACTGAATGGTTTAGGCCCAAAATACATTTCTGACCTCCTGCTAAATTATGAACCATCCAGATCTCTCAGGTCTTCAGGGACTGGTCAGCTTTCTGTCCCCAGAGTCAGAACTAAACATGGTAAAGCAGCGTTCAGTTATTATGCTCCAAATATCTGGAACAAACTCCCAGAAACCTGCAGGTCCGCTGCAACTCTGACTACTTTTAAATCCAGGCTGAAGACTTTTCTTTTTGTCGCTGCTTTTAATTGAACTATTCATATCTTAGACTGCACTGTAACTTTTATCCATGTACTTTTTTCTTTTAATGTTTAATTGCACTGTAACTTTTATCCATGTATTTTTTCTTTTAATGTTTATTTTATTAGCTTTTCTTTTTAATGACTGATTTTAAATGCCATTTTCTTAATCTCTTTCATTTTTTGTAAAGCACTTTGAATTGCCTTGTGTTGAAAAGTGCTATATAAATAAACTTGCCTTGCCTAGTTCGAATGGTGATTAATCATGATTAATTAATTTTTAAGCTGTGATTAATCTGATTAAAAATTGTAATCGTTTGACAGCCCTACTTGCAACACATGCATTACAAGAGCATTACCAGGCATTGGCACAGCCTACAGCTGCCTGTAATAGATTACTCAACATGAATCAATCTCCTGTTCCTTTATAGGAAGTGGAACCTCCAAGAAGCTCGCAAAGAGAAATGCAGCGGCTAAGATGTTATCACGTATACACGATGTCCCGGTCGACCTGAGGACCACCAACGAAGCTGAGGTCGAAGAGGACACGTTCAACATGGTGAGAAATAAACTTTCTCTGTGCCCCATTTGTCAAAGTTTGTGAAAACCTTTGCAGGAAAGGATCCACAACCTTGCATAACATGTTAATATTGTATTTATGCTTACCAATGTCTTCAATTTACAGTTATTAATCTTTCATTGTGACGCAGAGCACAGTAAGACATGCATCCCATCCCCCTTTTCCTTACTGCTCATACATCTTAATAGTGTGTATTAACTACCATGAACTTCCGCCTGCACACACAGCACATGGGGAGCAAAGCTGATACGGGCAAAAGTAAAGGCTTCGGCTGCACGTGGGACTCTCTGCGTAACTCTGCTGGAGAGAAGATCCTCCAGCTCCGCAGCCACCCTCTGGGCATGCCCACTGACTCCAACTTCTGCTCTCTGCTCAACGACCTGTCTCTGGAGCAGTGCTTCGACATCAGCTACCTGGATCTAGGTGAGTTCCCAAGCAGTGGATCATTATACATTCTTCCAAGCACCACAGTGTGACTAAAGTGGAAGACTACAATACGTTTAACACTGAAAGGTTACAAAGAAATGTGGAGTCTATTCACTGGGTAGTTGTGTGTATGCATTTAAAGTTGCATTTTAGTAAGGAGCATAAACATAATGAATGTGTTGAGCTGACACTGCATATGATAACACCATCTGCACAAACTAAGACTTGCCGAGCATTATGGGAACATAGTGATGCTGTGTGGTTACTATTACTGCCATCAGATATAGAGGAAGTAACCCTCAGCTGCATGTTGTCACAGTTTTTACCGGTGAGACATTTTCATCTGTGTACAGCGCTTCACAGAAGGACAAGAATTTTAAGCTGATGGGGGGAAAAATGCAGTAGTTGTAGTTGAATACTTGATTTCAGAGTATGTGATGATCAAATACAAAAAGTATGAGACCCTATCTAAAGTAAAGCTAGTTTCTGGGTTTCGTTATTATTACGTTATACATTTGGTCAGTGACATATTTAGTAACGAAGGGTCGTAACTGAAATAGCTAATCACACTTATAATGGAGAACTGAATATATCTCAATGAAATGCAACTGAAATATACTGTAGTGCAGCCCTAGGGTTCTTATCAGATGGAGCATTACCATCACCTTTGACGAGAAATTCTGTCTTTTAACTTTAACTGACGTATCTAAAGCAGCATTGACGTTGTAAAAGTATCTGAGTCAAAATCTTGCTTTAGAAAATGTATCTTTTAAAAATACTTTACTTAACCTCCTTTTTATTTGCGTTTTTGTTTCAGAAGAGCGCAGTCTGAGCGGCCTGTGCCAGTGTCTAGTGGAGCTTTCCACTCAGCCAATCACAGTGTGCCATGGCTTCGCTCCGAGCATCGATGCAGCCCGAGCCAATGCAGCCCACAATGCACTGCAGTACCTCAAAATTATGGCCGGGGGAAAGTGATGTCCTCTTCCTCCTCACAGACTCGAACTCACACGACGACACTTTTGTGATGAGTTCAAATAATGTGAATTACCTCAATTGTGGATTATATAAGATACTTTTTTCTGTCCCCAAATTAACCCCAAGGACATGTTTTGGTCACGTGGATTTCTCATCGTTGCCAATGAAGATATAGCTTCCCAAAAACTCATACCTCTCTCTTTGACATTTTGCATATCTGTCAGAAATTCTTTTAAAATGCTTTTTTGGTATTTTCTTTGGTTTGCCCAGCATCCATACTCGCCACTCTATTTCCCTAAAAAGCTCAAGTCTAAAAAGTCTTTATCTAAAGTGACACCTGTTGCATACATACATACAAGTTCCTTAATACCTGCAGATATATTCTGATTTCACAAACAATGCAAATGGAGAATTACCAAATACTGGTGCTGCGTTAAAACCACAATCATTGGTTGGGGAATGAGAGAAAAGGACTCTGCTGATGAAATATCAGGGGATAATAATTTTGAAGGCAGCCCTGCTTTCAGATGACCTTAATGAGATGATGTGGCCTTTGTTGTATATTCAAACCAGCTCTAAAAATACAGTTGGATGCTCCTCATGTTGGGCCTTAAAGATTAGAAAATGTAAAACGTATCATAGTATCTCTGTTTAACAACTGAATTTGGCAAATAAACCTTTCTAATCATGTTCCTAAAATAGAAATGGTGAGAAAGATCAGTATGACTGAAACATATTGATGGAAGAATCGTTCTTGTAATGTTTTGCCTCTTTAAACACTAACTTAAAAAAGTAAGGCTCATATTTATTAGGTCCGGAGCAGGAATAGAGAAAGTAATGTGTGAGGAAAACTTTAAAAAATATCTCTACAATATTGAAATGACGTCACAATCTACTCATTGGTCCCATTTACTCCTGGATGTGCAAACAGTTTTGTAAAGTGCTAATTACCTCAGCTTTAAGACTTCTTTAAAACACGTCTTTGCTTGTCTTCAGTGTAAGACAATGATGAATTAATACATCGGTTGAAGGGAGGGGAAAGTACAAAGTCCTCATTTTCAATATTATAGACCAGTCAAACAAGCTATAATATTTAGTTCTGTTAAGTTTAAATGTATCTTTGCTCATCATGCCTGGCACTGTTTCATTTATAATTTAAACCCACTGTGATTTCGTTTTTTTTGTCAATGGAAATATGAATCCTGTGATATTGGAAAGTTGATCATGGTGGAATTTGGAAATATTCTTCTCCAACTACATGCTGTGTCTTGTAAAAGGATTCATTACCATGCACCTTGCTGTATTTGTTTTGATATACTGCCTTGCACTCGGCTGGAATGAGTATTGAGTATAGTGAACCGTTTGCACTACTTGACAAGCACAGTTTCCTTACTCCTGCCACCGGTGCAGTTCATGTGAACCTCATTCTCTGAAAAAAAAAAATCTGCATCTTGTTTTCTGATCATTCAAATAAGGAACTTGTGCTGTTTTTCGGTGAGTTTTAGTACTCACACCATTGAAGTCTATACTGACCTCATTACATTTGAGAAGAACTTCTTTGTTGTTGTAGTAGAAAAAGTTGCCCAGTTTTAGCTAAACGATGAAATATTATGAGATCCATGTGAAATTGACTTATTTCCAATAAAACATTTTGTACATTTTACTGCCAACTGTTGCTGTTACAACTTGAACACTGCCATTCCTAATTCAATTAATTAATTTCATCAAACCCTTTGAACTACAATAGTTTTATTGTTACTTATTTACAGTCTGTATGAGCACTGGGGAGAAACTTAATGATTTGCATGTCCGGAAGTCTTATTGTGAAAAAAATTCTCTCACGTAACTACGTTTTTTACAGAATCATCACATCTTAAGCCTCTGTTTAGAAACAACATTTGGTGCAGGAAATAGTCGACAGGTGAGAAATGAGATGAAATTCAGTTGTTTCCGTCATCTGTTTGATGAAGGGCTAACTTCTTCATCTGCATAGCCGCTGCTGTCTGACTGCATGCTGTCGCCCCGGACCATCTCACCTACACGAGGAGGGACACAAACACTGTCAGGCAACAACTCCATGCAGTGAACCACTGCACAAAAACAGCTGCAGTCTGACCTGAATCCACACACAAACGGTGTGACAAAAACACCTGCACATCGACATGTATACACAAATGCTTTCATTGCTCTCACATCTTATTTTACTATCTATATTATGACTTTATAAGGACTTTACATGCCCAATGCCCTCAAATGTAAGGACCCAAAATAATATATCTAATGAGACAAAGTTCAAAGTGTCACAACCTTTATTAATTTGCTCAGCTTTTGCTCCTTAGAATTGTCAGTCCTTTTTCAATAGATTTGTGAAAGCTATTCGTTTCCTCACATCATGTTGGACCTCGTTAAAAGATCTACAGTGACAATATTGAAGTTTAGCAGTATGTTTACACAAACAAATATTTTTCTGCCACAAATCTGGTGTTAACTGTCACAGGTTGGACTGAAAACTCCTTTATCTACTGTCTAGAAATGTTTGAACTGTATGATTAAAAGCCGTTTTTTTATTTCTGTGAAAAAAATTGAGCAACAAAAAATGTTGGCAGACTTCATGCCGATAAATCTAGTTTCCCTGTTCCTGTTTTAATAAATGACCTACCTATGACCTGTGCTTGTATACAAAAACATTCCATTCACACAAAATAATTATAAATATACCTTTAGACGACAGGGGGGTTGTTGTCGTCGTTTCAGATTTAACAAAATCTTCCTCTCCTGCACTATGCACCTGTAGAGTCAACAGGCATACAGTTATATTATTTCCTGAATGTATACCATGAAACACACTATTAGGGCTGAACAATGTCTTCTTTTATTATCCACATCACAATGTCTGATGGTGGTACAATAACTAATCCAATTTCACTAAAACAATATTGTGTATTGTAACAGTGTTCATTTTTTCATTCATAATCTTACAGTTCATCTGTAGCTTGATATAATTCAATGCAGTTGCAAAGTTGAGTGAGCATGGCAATTGTCATATTTTCTGATAAATACAACTAATTGAAATACAACAAACACTTAAAGGTCCCCTATTATACTGTTTTTCATCAATATATTATAGTTCTGTACAAAATATGTCTCTGAAGTGTTTGGCTTGAAATACCAAACAGATGTAGCAGTGTAGCATCCCATAATCCCCTCTGTTTCAGCCCTGTTTCTAAAGTGCTGATTCTCTGTCTGTTACTTTAGATGGAAATAAGGAGCCCCTCCCCACGCCCCTCTGAGAGATATTTGGTTAAAAAGAACACAATGGTGCTCTAGGAGGAGATTCAGGTGATTAGGTAGGGGGGGGGGGTTACCTTGGTTGGTGATTGGCTAATGGTTACACAAGCCAAAACAACGTTATGACATCATATAGTGGCCAAAATCTGATCAGCTCATTTTCAGACAGGTTTTTATATAAATGGATCAGGACAAGAAGTGAGAGAATCTTTTTTCCTGAAACCTTCAGAATCTCTTTACACAGAGGACACACACATGTTTATGTATAAAAGACATGAAAAAGTGGATTTTGCATAATAAGTGACCTTTAATCTGGAGAAATGTTGTAACTTTTCTTTTTAATACTTAATTTTCTGAAAATAATAAATATTCTATTCAAGAGACAGTACCTCCTCCAGCTCGAAGGAGTTGACCTGTTGCAGAGGGTTGGAGTCGTGCCCCAGGATGTGACGAGTCAGGGGATTCAGGTACCGGCTTCTCCCCTTGATAAATGACTCCTCACATTTCTGCAGAGGCATTACAGTAGAAGCATGACCGGCATCTATTGCATTTGAGGAATGAGGAGAGATGCCGCCCCCCTCCCAGCCCGTCACAGTGATGCAGCACTGGGTGGGGTCTCCGTAGGGGGCCAGGACAGGAAGTGATCCAGGTGCACGAGTCTGTTGGGTGTCAGGCTCAGGGATAGAGATTTGTATATCAGGTTCATGAGATCCATCTATGCTTACTTTCTCAGAGGAGATACAAGTGTTTGTTTTTGGAATAATTGTCTGTTGACAGCAGAAAGGCGCCTGGTGTACACTCTCAACTATCTGCAGGCAGATTAGATCGTACGTCATCTTAGCAACTGGTTTCAGATCAGCAGTGCCAGTCTCTCTTTGAGATGCACATGAGTCCAGCTCGGTTTCTATCACAGTTTCTCCTGATACTGATGACGCTAGAGATGTTACACTGTGAGTCCTGCTGTCAAGGTCTGCTGCTCTGACACTGTTTTCATCTGCATCAACATTATCTGTTTGTTTGCAGCCCTGCATCTTATGACAGGTTGTATTTCCATTTTGAAGAATGTCTTCATCCTCCATGCTCTGCTGTGTTTGTGCCTCCTTCCCACTGTCACAGGATGTATCCCCATCCATAAACAGCCTGACATCCAAGTTGCTCCTATCATAATCCCCCAAATCCAGTTTCTTTGTAGCCCCACTCTTGTGTTTCTCCAGGACTATACCCACAACATCAGGGAGGTTGGCCCTTTTCCTGGGTGAGGGCTGTGGAGAGGTGGAGTCTGACCCTCGAGGAGAGCCTGTGTAGAGACACATCTTGGAGACGGTGTCCTTCAGCCGCTCCACCGGAGAGCGCACCTCGCTGCGGATGCTGCCTCTGAAGCGCTCGATCTTCTCCACAGGAGACGAGGAGAAGGTGAACTCTGGTGTGGCCAGTTTCTGCAGAGGAGTGCGGGACACGTGGGAGTAGAGGGAGTAGAAAGCGTTGGCCATTGCTGTGAGGACTTGCACTTGTCTGAAACGACCTGTAGTAGGAATCAAAATTAAAACAAGTTATATGGATGTAATTTGCCACGATTTTCTTCACCTTATCACATGCCAAACACAAATATACAATCGAGTGACAGATAACCAACAGCAGTGATTTAATAACTCAATGGTCTTACTAGCAAGAGAGAGGCTTGGGTCTTCCTCTCGTATCCGCCGTATCTGAGAGTCCAGGAAAACCCGGAAGTTGATGCCCCGAGACAGAGAAGGAAAGTTTAAGAAGCGAGGAGGGATGCGGACAGTGACCTGAGGCTCGTCACGGCCAAAACCCAGCTCGTACAGCGTCTCCTCCGCATCCTCAGCACACAGCTGCAGGACCTCTGAGATACTAGAGCGCATGTGAGGAAAAAGGATAAATAAAGTTATATCCTAGTAAAAAGGATTTTGTAAAGCCTTTTGAGGCACATTTTTGAAAAATACAAGCATGTGTAATGCTCATTGAGAGTAACAAAGTGCTTTAGAAAACGTTTTAAAATGAAAACAATAAATGAAAAGTATCAAATTACATAGAATAAATATGATATGGAAATGTATTATTCAAGTGTAAACAGACATGAAAAGGATTGACGTTAAGGTGTAAAATATATTTGTAAAGCTTCACTAGGTCATTCAAAAGCAAAGTGCTGAGTTATTGGTCCTCAGAAGTCTCACCTCGATGTAGTTTTAAAGGTGGAGGAGGAGAGGCAGCTGGAGGCCATGCTGTGGCCCAAGTTTAGTTTCGGCAGACATTGTTCCTTACGAGGGGTACTGTGGACAAGACATGAGTAATGTTATCATTCATATGACCTGCCTATGAGCTGTGGAAGAAGACATCTAGTATTAATCTTAATAATATCTTAATATTCTGATATGTTTATATTGAGGTAGAAATGTTCCACTGACCTGGTGAGTCTGCCGGGACCTGGTTTGGAAGAAGGATGCTGTGCGAGGCTTCATGGTCAGTGCAGATTGAGGAAAAGTACAAAAAACAAGTATTAACCTAGTGTTTATTTAGTAAAGATAGTCAGATTTGAATAGATCTTTATAGCCCAGTAACACAAACGTGTCTCGAATGATATTTCAAAACTGAAAAAAAGAGTCCATACAATGGAGCATGAGAGCATTCTCATTCACACCTCTTGATCATTTCAATAGAAACAGACCCAGTATGCAAAATAAGAAAGAAAACAGCAGTTGTTCGGGTGGGGGTGTTGAACTGAACATACATGTTTTATAGAGGTGTAGTTCATAATGTCTATCTAAAACTGACTAAAATGTGAGAAATATCTTAGACAATAATCTCCTTTATTTTGTTCTTGTGCAGAAAATTAAACAAAAAGTACAGAATGACCTCTGTCCGTTTAATGATTAAAGCACCATGGATACTCATTATCTAATCTTCACTAATGAATTATCGTGACAGTCCACTTTTCTTGTTGTTTCATTGTCCCTGATACTACATCTGCACTTACCAAGCTTTAGATGATATCTCCCCACCATTTAACAAAGACGCTGAAATAAAAAATAAACACATTTTGATTAAAAAGGAATATGTTGATATCGAGGGTTTCAAAATGTAACCCTGAAACATCACAGCACACAATTAATCACTAACTAATCATGTGGACAGGCTGCTTAAGAAATCAAAACGTTATTGTACCAGAAAGTCACCAAAGGACTGAGTCATATTAGTTTGGTAACATCTCAAATAAAACTCTATACTTCCCCTTCAAACAAAAACATCCTCCTTGGCAGAGTTACAGCAATACTGCGTAACTGGACATTTCTCTGACTGTGCGTCTTCATAAATATGTAGAACACATGTAAGCTTTATAAGAAAACAAACAAATATGATGCACACCGTGTGTGTGTGTGTGTGTGTGTGTGTGTGTGTGTGTGTGTGTGTGTGTGTGTGTGTGTGTGTGTATGTTTTTTTGTGTGTGTGTGTGTGTGTGTGTGTGTGTGTGTGTGTGTGTGTGTGTGTGTGTGTGTGTGTGTGTGTGTGTGTGTGTGTGTGTGTCTACTTACCATCAGCACCAAGATTGAGTTCATCGTCACATTTCCTGGCTTTCAGCTCAGAGTCTAGAAGAAAAAGCAGTCAATAACCAAAATGACATGTAGTTACACAAACGGCCAAATTCCTGTTTTGAAATCTTGCTCATATGTTTCAATAGTGTAATGTTTTATATTACTAAGTACATTACAAATTTCACGTTTTAATAGTTACATTTAATGTAACTTTAACGTCACTAGCATTCAAATGGAAATATTATTTTTATTCCACTATAGTGATAGGCCATTTCCATTGCAACATACTGAGTGATTAAGATGTTATACCCAAATCATAAAACAAAATTAACAAAACATGATCACTTTTATGACTTCAACTGCCCAACAGTAGATACAATCATAAAATGATCTCCAGTTAACCAGCTACAACGCTAAAATGCTTATAATAATACAATATTACAACAATCAGAGGCCATTTAATTCTGAATTATAGTTGAACTATCACTTTAAGTCCATTCACTGATAAAACTTTAGTGACATTTGTTAACAAACAAAGGACACATGTTTTCCCATAAATGGTACATTGATATTCATTTGTTTAAGGTCATACTCACCAAAACTCAGCTGATCCGTGGTCTCTGAGCAGGCCTCTGCCCTGTAATTGAAATCCCAATAATAATGCATGAATACAAAGGCAGTGTAATTTGCATGCTTCTTCTGTGAAATAATTCACTGAATTTCCATAGAGGGAATGTGGGGTGTGATAGCAGCCGAGCTACAGAACACACAGTGACATCGACTCCCTGCTCAGCTCGCAACAGGCGGCCGGCATTTGTCAACTTCCTTTTGCAGACATGTTGACACGCTGAGCGGCGATATGGTCTAACACCCGACAGATCTGGTCATTTTCATGTTGACTTCTCAGAATGCATAAACCACTCCTTTTACTTGTTTTGGCATAAGTCATGTTTTAGACACTGACACGCTTTGTCACATATCTGACAAACAGCTTCCTTCTTGGTGATTGAAATAAGAGACATGAAACAATGTGTGTGTGTGGGGGGGGGGTGGCTGATATCCTTCCTTTAGTTTCATGACAGAAAAGAAGGAACTGTTATTTGTGTCTAGTTACAAAATAATCTTACTCCAAACCACAAATTGTGTATTTTTGTGAAACCCAGACTCAAAGATTTGTTGAAATGTTTGCATCAATATCCTGAGAGTCATTATTTTGTAGTCAACATTGCCTTAAAATGTTGTCTGCATCATGTCATGGCTTTGTTATTTAACACTGATAGATCTCAATTCAGAGCACTCTGACATTATGGTTTTAAAATAAAAATAAGATTATTTTTTTCCAAGTGGAACAGTAGAAATGCATCAAGTCTATTGTGGTGAGAACAATACTGTGGCTACCTTTCTATAACGTCTTCCTGGAACACCTGACCTCTGAGAGTTTCCACTTTCTACTCAACTGGTTTCAAACGACTGACACCTTCACCTTCAGCGACTGAGTCTAAAAATGTCAATATAAAAAACAAAAGCAGTAAAGCGAGATGACTCACCCACAACTCTGGAGCCAATTCTCGATCTTTCCAGTAAAGCATCCTGTGGAAATCACAACATTTAGCAACTCTTCATATTATTTCACTCTATTTTATAGTTGTCTTCTTTAACATGCATACCTAATTTGGAATATATTCTATGAAAGGAAATAAGGAAATAATAATATTATTTAGCTATTTCTAAAAGAAGAAGCATTTTTTATGTGAATCACTTTTCAACCGGGTAATTTCTTATATTTGATGTATTAAAAGCAGAAGTGACATGGGCCCACACAATCTTCTACTACTTCCCTGGAATGCTTGATCATATGCATGCTTGAGCTCAGTTTATCTGTAACTAAATCAACAAATTGATTAGAGCTATGACACCCTGCTCAGTTTGGACTCACCGTCAGAGAAGACGTCGTCGTCGTCGGCTACAGAGGCCGAGGGGAGGGTACATAACGGCCCCTCGGGGTCCGGCTCCAGAGTGGAGCGCTGCCGGCGGCTGTTGATCCAGGCCCTCCGCCGCACTGTGGAGGGTGGGCTCTCCATCGCCTCAGATCACAGACAGAACATGGAGTCAAAGCTAGACAGGAAGAAGAACAAGGAAATAAAAAGATAAAAACGTTTGACACCTAATCTCCATGGCGTTTGGAGTGTGTTGTTCAAACATTATTTATCATTAAAGTAATCAACAGGATGTTTCTTCAAACAATGTGTCTTTTGATTGGACAGGCTTTTTGGATTATTGTGCAATACTAAAACTCCTGAAGTCAGAATGTAGAGATTGCTCCATTTTTGCTTTTAAATTAATATTGTTTTCATTTAAAAAAATCAATAGTTGAAAAAAGTGGGCTAAAATGTAATACAAAGAGCATGTCTACATGCCCTAATGTTCAAAGCATTGTTTCAAAAATGGTAAAAGGAAAGGTGCTAGTTCCCCTATAGGGAACTGACGAGGTGCCCCTGAGCTATAGGCACCAAACCCCCAAAATCTGCTCCAGGGGTGGTGAAACATGGCTCAAAAATATGCGTGTGTGATATCTACGAGGGATATGTTAAGAGATTAAGGCTGCAATGAACTATACATTTCTTCGTTGATGAATCTGTTGATTATCTTCTCGATAAATACCTTAAATAAATACTCATTTGTATGAATAATTGTGTTGTAACTGTCTTTTCTCCCTGGGAATCACCTACCTCTATAAATACAATGAATCACTTACTAGGTGAGTACTTATTACCTGTTTTCTCCACAACTCAAACATAGTCAGTTCAAAGAAAAATAGAAAAAAGAATAACATAAGATCATTTTGACTTCTTTCCTAGAACTCAACCCGATTAATTGATTATTAAAATAGTTGGCAATTAATTTAGTAGTCAACAACTTATCAAAAATGTAGCTCCAAGAGAGATACATTTTAAATTCATTGAGTATATTTGCCTTGTGACGATCAACAGAAAGGCACATTTCTTCTTATTTTTTAAGTTTAAGCTATGATTTAATTGAATTATTTATTCATCATAAAATACCAAAATGTCTGAGTGTGTTCAAATGAATTGCATATCACAGTTTATATAAAGTAGCTATCTACAATGACTGACAAACAGTAAAGTAGGCACAGATATAAACACAGAATGACAGATAAAGCCAATTCAATTTAAATTAAAACTTTTAAAGTAGAATAGGTAACATCATGTTAATGAATACATATGTGAACATCTATTTGTAATCATTCCAAAAAGCTCATTTAAAAATACACAAGTTTGACTAATAGAAAACATGCATCATAGTAGTTTGAGTAAGAGTAGGCCTATGCCTTTTACGATGATATACCTTTGTGTGATCCATGATATAAGCGATGGACAGGTGTCTCCAGGCTGTATATTTAGCTGAATGATGTAGACTAGTCCTACTGAGAGTTTTCCAAGTTATTATTCAGAGCAAGAACAGAAAACAACGTTGAGAGAAGAGAAGCTGCTTTACCTTCATGGAGGCAGGTTTCAGTTGTGTCAGTGGCGCTTTTTCTCTCGTTTCCTGTTGTCGCAGGCTGAGATCCCTGAAACTGATCTGCGATCTTTAGCAAACCCTCAAACTGCATCCAGCCTGCTTTGGGTTTCACTGATGACTTTACGGTGAAAGTCATCAGTGCAGTTTCGTGTTAATTGTTGTGGTCCTTGTCAGCTGGCCTGCATGTGTTGCTGAATTTGCGCGGAACATTAAGAGAGTTTGAGCAGACTGTAGGAAGTGACTTTGCATCTCATCTGAAACTCAACAGTTCTCTCAGCGTGAGATGCAGCTTCGACACATCCTGCAAAAAGCTGCAGTAAAAAGACTCAGAGTCGGAACAGGTTTTTTAGAAATTTCACAGTTTATGGAAGACCACACAAGTGGTTATAATACTTATAACAACGTAGTTCATAACAATAGATTGCAGAGAAACACCCACATGACATAACGGTACTTTTTTCTTTAAAAGTATGAATATAGTCCTTTAAAGACATACTCTCCAGAGCTTTCTAATTTGGGATGGATGGCCTGTATAAAAGTAACCTCATATCAGATCACGAAACACTGCAGGTGACAATCATGTTTGGTGATTAGGCTACTGCATTACATAACTTTAACAGGATTTTAAATAATTGCTTTATTAAAGGTTAGTTAAGCATGTACATGTTTTAAGATCCATTATAAGCTATAAATGATGATGATCATTTGGTTTGGGCTGGTGTTCATCATCACATCTTCCAATGGATTTTTGAACACATCTGGACCACAACTATTTAGACTAATTTTAAATGATCATTTATCATTATCAATTATTTTGTAAATGTTACCCATGCTTGCTAAGAGAGAAATTGCATATATTCTGTTAGCCTGATGATACAGTATGAACAATTATTTACCCCATGGTTTATTCTTTAATTGTTGACCTATACTGAAATAATTAGTGAGCAATGGTTTATTGGAAAGTGAGACAACGTTAACACCATGTGACTTTTTATTATTCGCATACCAATGCTGTTTTTATCAATATTTTTTGTAGATGCCAACATATGGAAACTGTATGTTTAATTTGTTTTGTTTTTAATTTTGGTGAACATAAGCTTTCTTTCTGTATGCTTTCTCTTTCTACTGAGGGGAACGCACATTATCACCAATTTACGTATAATGCAAGTCATTCAGAATTTTTAGGTGAAAGCAATATTGCACATGGAAAAACATTTTATTCTTTAATAAAGATAAACGAAGATTGACTAAATTTGCTCACTGATTTACTGTAGAAAAGTAGCAAAGAGTATTTACTCTAGGCTTATTTACAATTTTGACGTGTTTTAAGTTACTGATGTTACTCTACACTTCTACTTTACTATAGGACATTTTACTCCAATCAATGTATTTTAGAGTTGAGGTTTCTCTTTACTTTGCAGGGCTTCAGACATGTTGACATTGCACAGTTAAAAAGCAAAGGTTTGTAAATCATAAAATGAATGACCGCTGAATTTCATGCAGCTTTAGTTTCAGGGTCCTGGTATTTTCACATGCTTTCACATTTTCACATTGTCACACTGACTTGCTGGAACAGAGAGAGCAATTATTAATGTTATCACTAACAATGGTGCTTTTCAAGGTCAAAATATCTGCCTTTAAAGTTCTTATAATATGCCCAAAAATGTTAATAATCAGTAATAATAAATGCTATAATATAGCCTAATAGCCTTTATGATTATAACAGTGGCCATTCGTGCTGACTTGCAGTTATTAACCCAACCATTACCATGTTTACCTTCTCACCTCTATTGTTATTCTTGTTGTATGGGCTTCTTTTCTTTATTATCTAAAAATGTCCATAATTATTGTAGGCCATCTTTCTCTCTTTTTTTGTCTTGCAGACCCCCGAATAAATATAAAGCCTACATGATGATGATAATACCATACTTTGAAATGTAGGACTTTAACTAATATGGTGATATTGCTACTTCTTTCACTTATAAAGGGAGTCAGTGGATTGTGCACTTGCAACAAGCTGCTTAACTGAAACAACCCATTGTTAGAAAGTGTGTCTGCTTGATATAAATCAGAGAGAAATGGTCATTCCTGTCACTAACTGTAGCAACATCAGTGTGTTTGACTGCAGACAGTTTGGAGGATGCATGCTTGGCCTGAGGATGGACTCCACCCTCCGTCCTGTTTACATGGGCACATGTGCTGCTTCACTGACAGCCCCCTCGTACATCCCAATAAATGTAAGCCCTCCCACAAGCGAGCCATTTTCTCCTCCCAGCGCGGCTGCAGCCAGTGTTTGAGTGTGATGGGGTCTCTTCTCCTCCACCCTGGCGGCCTCCTCCCGCCTCCTTGCTGTTTCCCAGCCCACAGGGCGCGGCCAGTGGCCACGGAGGCAAGACTTAAATAACCAGTCCGCCTTCCTCCTTTCCCTCCTCCGTGTTCAAAGCATAATATAAGCAATGGCATCCTTACACTGCTAAATGGTAATACAATATCACAGAAGGAGTAACGGGAAATATCAATATTTGCGTAAACCTATTTACAAATGGCGCCATTTAAGCGGAAAACAGATAACCAAACGTCAATCATGCTCAGGGGAACAACCTACCTTGCTTTGTCCCGCCCAATTCTCCGCGTTAGGCCAATCACATTGGTTTGTTTAAGCTCGTTGGCAAAAACGACTTGTTCCATTGGAGGAAAGCAACAATCCTTCGCAAGTAGCTGACAGAGGGGTGCGCTTCTTTTTCTCTACAGGGTCATTGCAGTAGTACAGTAAACAGCAAAGCTGCCAACGTGTATTAGAATTGACCAGAATTTAAGATATAACGTTCTTTATTTTTTTTAATATCCTTTCACAATGTGATGCTGTTAAGGTTTGGTCATGTGGTCAACTGTTCTGATAACCGGTATTTCCACTATTGTGTGTTAAAATGACCTTTTAATTACATCCGACTGTAAATCAACTAGAATCGTTCTAAATGAAGTGCAAAATGTAAATTAATGTAGTTTACATGCATTAGTCTTTAACTTTATGGTCAAAGTATAATGTCAACGTTTAACAGTACACAATAAAAAGCAATCTGCTGCCTGACGCTCAGTGTTCGTGCCCCACGAATGCTTCGGGCTAACCCGGTGTTTAAATCGAACGCATCTGTCTTTCTCCTTCATAAGGGGAGTCCATCAAGTTTGTGTGAAGTTGTGAAAAGTTGTGTCAACCCGAAAAAGAGCAGAGAAACTCCTCCCGTCTTCAAATTATGAGCAGTAAGTGAACTTTTTAAACTCAGAGGAATGTTATGAACGAAGCATTATTCAGCAATTAGAATAATAGTATACATATTTTACATGTAATTACGGTTAAAGTATGATATTGTAATGTTTTCTAGCTCGTGTCTCAAGCAGTTTAAAAGTGACCAACTACTAAACTGCTAATTGTCGGTTTTTAGCTAACCGTGTAATAGTTTCTCTAGTTCTTCATTCACACACAATTCATCCACATCAATTGAAGTTTGTCATATTCACTTGAGCTAGCTAGGTTACAGTGAGTATTGCAGTTTAAACTATGTCGGTCTCTTAAGCTAATACTTAGCAGTTGTTCTGAACATTACTTGTTGTGTTGACTTCTAGTTAGCCTAGCTAATATGCTAGCTGGCCCTTTTGAGCACTTGTGGCGTGGATTTCCTCGTATTTATCTAAATTACTTCACATTAGAACATTCCCTAAAGTTGAGTTATTTTCGTGAGGTCTCATGCGTACATGTGTGTTTTCTCCAGATTGTTGAACCCAGCGTTATCTCATTTGGATCGTCCTCTGCTTGAAATGTAGCTACTTTTAATAGAAGTGATCTTACAAACTCTTCTTCCGCAGATCAGCAGCAGGGTGAAATGGCCGCAGTGGAGAGCGGTGGAGGCTACAGTCAAAAGCGAGACACAGGAAATTCACAAGTAAGTTTCGCTGTTTCTCAAATCCGATGATCGCCAGCCGAGAGACAGTAACTTTAACGTATCACGCTACACCATATGACCCACTTATAACAAATGATATGTATTCCCTTCGGTTCGGTTTGAATCTGTCATCCATCTCTGTCGGGACTTGTACGGGTTGTTGATTTTCTCTCCGGAGCACATGTCACCGGGGTGGGGAATGGGCAGGTAAATTTCGCCCACACGGGGTGTTCCCGTCAAACCGCGGCACTTCATGAGCATTTCGCTCGGCCCATTTGGCTGGCCTTGGAGGGGGTGGCTAGAGGAGTGTGTCAGTTTATAGGGCAAAATGAAGTGGGAGGGAGATGGGTGGGTTTGGGGGGAGGAGAAGCCGAGCCCGCCGCTGCTCTGGAGAACATGTGGTCCCTCCCATCCTCTCCCACCCTGCGTCCCCTGGACTTCTTACTACAGCAGCACCGGGCATAGGTTTAATATTATGAAGGGTGTTTTGAGAGTACGGCAATATAGCAGGGTTAGATTTACAAAACCAGTTCCATCATGTATTTTTTAATTTGTATTATTAACTCCACCCCATGAAATTGAAATTATACGTTAACATGTTTAAAAAAAAAAAAAAGTTGTCTCTTTAGTTCAGGTTCTGAATTTTGTTTTAAACATTGTTTATTACTTGTGTAATTCCTTGGTCTTATTATTCTAATTATATTTTACTCTGCTGTTTTATTGTAAAGCAGCATTCAGGGTTGTGTTCCAAGTGTTGTTAGCATCAGTTTATTTATTTATTTGAAATTAGTGGACCGACATTCTTCCTAGATTTGCACCATTAGCATGTATGTTAGTAAGATGTATTTTCACTATATAAATTCCGTCTGTCTTTTTCTTTCATGTTTTCTCTCTCCAGGACTCACAGCAGCCGTCTCCTCTCGCCTTGTTGGCAGCCACTTGCAGTCGAATTGACACCCCAGGAGAGGGTGATTCATCTGCAGACCAACAACAACAAAACCAGCAGCAACAGCTGGACTTAAACCAGGGTGTTTTCACCTCCACAGCCAATGGCTGGCAGGTTATCCCTCTTAGTGTTCAAACAACCTCAGGCACTAACACTGTCACCACCGACTCCTCAGGGATCATGACAGTAGGAGACATAGGCAAGTGCAGGCAGGTGTTGTCACAATCAGCAGTTGCTGTTAGCACCCAGCAGCAGCAGCTTCAACAGCCACAGCAATACGTAGTAGCTCAGACTCCATCAATGCACGGGCAGCAGATGCTTACCACCATGTCGGGTATGATGCCCAACATCCAGTACCAGATTATTCCCCAGTTTCAGACGATAGATGGCCAGCCTCTGCAGTTGGCACATGCTCAGCAGGATAATACGGTTTCTGCTGGAGCAGGGCAGCAGTTTCAGATAGTGTCATCCGCCAATGGCCAGCAGATCCTAGCTACGACCAACAGAGCTGGGGCTGGAGGAAACATCATAACAATGCCCAGTCTCCTCCAGGGAGCCATCCCCATACAGAATATAAGCTTAGGTAATGGCATGTTACAAAACCAACCCCAGTTCCTGGCAAATATGCCTCTGTCATTAAATGGAAACATCACTTTGTTACCCGTCAGCACCGGAACAAGTGGAGGGGGAGATGCAAGTGGTGGAGGGGATACAGGGGGGAACCAAATTATACAGCAACATCCAGTGTGCAGCGCGGCAGCTTACATGACAAGTGCGCCGACTATCACCACGCAGGCCTCTTCTTATGGAATCGCCCAAACGCACAACAGCAATGGAGTGACCTTCCAGCAGAGCGTATCTTCTCTGGGTGTCCCCATACAGCCAGACAACAGAGACGGGCTGCAGCCACAGCAGATCCTGATCCAGCCTCAGCAGATCATCCAAGGTGGAGCCCCCCTCCAGACCATCCAGGCCGGTACTGTCACGACCGCTGGGGGTCAGGTCTTTGCGACTCCGACACTCAGCCAGGAAGGGCTTCAAAATCTTCAAATTATGCCAAACACGGGCCCCTTCCTCCTGCGCACTGTAGGCCCCAACGGCCAGGTGAGCTGGCAGACCATTCAGATCCAGAGTCCAACGGGGCCTCAGATAACGCTGGCCCCGATGCAGTCTCTCCCTCAACTCGGCCAGGCTCAGGGGGGAGCTGGCGGAGTATCTGTCAACACCGTGCAGATCCCAGGCCTCCAGACCATAAATCTCAACACGATCGGAGGCACTGGCCTGCAGATGCACCAGCTGCAGACGGTTCCCATCTCCATCGCCAGCTCAGCAGGTCAGTCAGTAGCCTGCTCTCCAGGAATAATTCATGTTCAGTGTAAAACAAGAGTCATTAGCCGCTTTCAACCAAGTACTTTGCCGTACTTAGTTCCCAGCACTTGGTACCCCCATGGAACTAAAGAGCATATCGCGTTCACACCGGAATAAGTCCCTGAGGGAAGATTAGGCAAATTAAGCCGCTGACGTCACTTCTTCTTCTGCTTTGGGTTTACTGGCAGGCCGCAAACAACTTCATGGTGTATACTGCCGCCCGAAGTCCCCGGAGTTGGGGACTGGCTTCAGTAGAAGCTGCTGGGACTCCCAGCTGCTTCTACTGAAGCCTTCCGCCAGACGCCGAAACCTCCTCATCTCCATCGCTCCCATGTTTTCTTTTGTGTTGCCATAAGTTAGTCTCTCTCCGTTGGTGCGCGGGGCTAAGGCTAATAATGCTAATGCCAGCAAATACAATGGCGGCTTCACAAAACTTTTCCGAGTTTTACGGGACGTGGTTAGCAATTCGCCCAGCCAATCAGAAATTGGAACTTTTTTTTCTCCCCAGGAAAGTACCTGCTCTCTAGCAGGGACTGAAAAGGGGGTGAAAAGTTCTCGTGAACTAAGTTCTCTTTTTGGTGTGAACGCAAAATCCCAGGAACTAAAAGGGAAAAGTACTCTTAGTACACATATTAAAAAATTGACTTAATATTTACTCATAATGGCATCATCACACAGGACTTTCATCATTTAAAATGTATTAATATATGTTTTAAGTTGTTTTACTTTTATCAGTACTATTCAGACATCTTTACCTACATTTAAGCTTTAATCAAAATAATGGAAATGTTGATTGTTTATATCTTCTAGGAAAAACTGATAAACAACAAATATAATAGTACACTAATTGTTCAGCGGTACAGTAAACATGTTAAGTAGTCCAGATTCTCTCTGTATTGACATTTTTCCCTCACACCGAAAAGTGTCAGTATCCTATATCTCTGGATTTTTGTGTGTGTGTGTGTGTGTGTGTGTGGCTCTGCTGGTTTAACCGGTTCAGCTGGCCCAGGGTTTCCTGAACGCTTCACGGCACTGCATGCATTTTTTTTAATCTTGTTGACAACTTTGTATCTTTTGAGTTTACACTGAGACGGCATTAAAGAGTTGTGGTTGGTATCATAGTATAGGTGTAACTTGAACCTTCCCATAGCAGCCATTATCACGTCATGTGTTAACCCCTCTTTAGTTTTGCTATTGGCAGCCCCTTACAGTATGCAATAATACATTTGCTAGCCTACATTTGTGATGTTCGTGAAGAATCATTGGGTCTGCTTTGGTGCACGTGATTTGCGCTGTTATCCTTATAATGAAATCATGTGCTTCCCATCAGCTACGTATTTAGATGGCTCTGTTTACTGGATGGCGTATTTTCAGTCTCTGGTCACATAACAAACGTATTAATCCAAGATTAATAAAGGATGTGTCCGGTTTAAAAACAGGGAATTTTTTTTTACTTTGGAATAATAGTCAAAGCCTGCAAGCCTCAGGTTTCCAGGCACTTCACTGTTTATTCATAAATTAATGACTAAACTAGTTCTAATCAACACATTCATCTCAATGGTACTTGCACTGCTAGGTACACGTCTGATTTGTAAGCCTGTTGAATAAAGCTATTGTAAATGCCCATAAACAATACAATATCCAAAACCAACCAATCACCTTACCTATTACAGTAGATTGGATCAGAAATGACATATAAGGAGTGGGATGGATTTTCGTACAAGAAATAATACAGGAAAAAGTTGATGTCATCTTCATGTGAAATGTATAGAAGATGTTCACAATAGTATTTGTATTTCATCACTTCAGTAGACCAGGCGCTGCAGGGGGGTGGAGAAAGTTTGGATGACGGCACAGCTATGGACGATGAGGATTTAAGCCCACAACCTCAAGGGCGACGTAACCGCAGAGAAGCCTGTACCTGCCCCTTCTGCAAGGACGGAGAGGGACGGTATGTCACTGACTTTGTTCAGTCCCTATTTTTCATAGGGAATTTTAGAAAGACACACTTCTATTATAGCTGATTTGATGTACCCTCTGTTGTCGGTAAAAATCAGAAACCCTCTAACTCTTGTGATTGTTTTGTTTTTTAATACATCAAGCAGGGACCCTAATAAAAAGAAGCAGCACATTTGTCACATCTCTGGCTGTGGGAAGATCTACGGCAAGACGTCCCACCTGAGGGCTCACCTGCGATGGCACACGGGAGAGCGGCCCTTCGTCTGCGGCTGGTCCTTCTGCGGCAAAAGATTCACCCGCTCAGACGAGCTTCAGCGCCACAAGAGGACGCATACTGGTGAGCATTCTGTTTAGTGAAGGACATTCAATCTCACACAAAACTAATAGGTCAATAACTTAATAGTAGAAATGAAAGAAGGGCCACATTATTATTTTTTTCTAACATGATCAAATAATTACTCGATTGACGGAATATTAATTGCATATTTTGAAACCAGTTAATTCTTTGGGTTTAAATTGGAATGCTTATCTTTTTTTTATTCAATCTGAATGAAAGTAAATGTCCTCGAGGTTCAGTGTGTCATCTTGGCGCTTTGGGAGATTTCTGATATCGGACATTTTAAAGGCCAGAAGATTACTAAAGATAATAAATCACAGAAATGGATAATGCAATTCTGATCCACTTCAATCTTGCATAATATCTTGTCTTGCATCTTCCTGTTACTAGATTTAGATACAAAATTGTATAACATTCTTAAATGTGCTTTTCTTAAATGGTCTGTTGTAGTCTGGTAATACCCGCTGCAGTATTTTTACATATTGACTTTTGTTCCTCCCTTCTTTCAGGTGAAAAAAGGTTTGTTTGCACGGAGTGTCCCAAACGCTTCATGCGCAGCGATCACCTCTCCAAGCACATCAAGACCCACTCGAACAAGAAAGCAGTCCCCACCAGCAGCAGCATGGTCTCCACCGACCCAGCATCCCCTACAGGAACAAAAGTCATCACAGGCACCGTGTCATCCGGTGACCAGCACACCATTGTCACCATGGAGACCTTATCCGCAGAGAGCATAGCTCGATTAGCCAGCAGCGGGATCAGCATGATGCAGGTGGACCTTCACCATATGAACGGAAACAGCTACTAAGGACTATGTTGGAGCAGGAGGACAGGCGCTAGTGGATGATGCATTTTGGACATTTGGGGTAAAAAAGGGCATGTGGGACTGCAGACACGGAACCTGTCCGCCGGGAGAGGCGGTCTCAAATGCAACACACGGACACTATTGATTATGACAATTGAGGCAGGAATAATGAGCTCCATCTTGTATTTAGATACCTGTAGCGTTTAAGGGTCAGAGTTGGATGAAAATGTTTGGTTAAAGAAATTGTATTTCCCCTAAAATGACATGTTACTACACCGAGATTTGACCCACACGCACGCAGTCCTGCTTGATAGTGGGACTGCAGTAACACACACTGGCACGCTTGATATTAAATTGGCAGCTGGTAATACCCTCTCCACGAGCTTCTTTAGTAAGGAGAAACACTACTAAGGGACTCTCACTTGTTTCCAAGGCTGTGGGCTTAGCTGCCTGCCCTCCTAAACATCAGGTGGTTCCAGCCGACAGACGGGGCTGCTGTATTTGGCTTAAAAGCCCATAATGCTAAATTCATCCCTAAAAATCCTAACAATTTAGAACAATAAACATTTTAGTTTTTTCTCTCACATTTCTGGCTTCACAAACTAACGATCAGTGTGTTGGGGCTAATATGGGAAGGGTTTTAGGAGGAGCGCAGCAGGTCAGAGCCAGGAGTGCTATTATCGTGTGAGGATGTAGGTGTGTCAGGGCACTGAAATCCTGAGAATAACTCTTTAACCTCTTGTGTAGGTACCTATTCAAGCCATCAAGCTTTGATATGTTTATCATAGCAAAACATTTAGATTGTTTTATGTATATATCTTTTGGAAATGTAAAGGCTACAGAATTTCTCAGCTTGGGCAGGATCATCTTTGCATGATTGCAGGAGATTGCCTCTCCGTTGTATGAACTCCTCATGCACAATCACATCTTAATCTTCTGTTATTACTTATATATATATATAGATTACATGTTTAAATTTAAGAGCCTTTCTGCCATAGAATAATGTATTCTATACAGTACAGATCTTCCAAGTGATTTCCCCTGAGGTATACTCATTATCTTTGCCTTGCAGTCTTGTCAGTTTGTTTTCTTTCGATGGAAAACTGTTTATTTTTAGTCCTATCTGGAGTGAAGTATTTTGTTATGTCCAGACAGCATAAATATGTAAGCTCAAAACCAAAGGTTCATACTCGTTTAATAAGCAAAACTAGGGAATCTTTCTTTGGTCCGTCAACTTTCTAATACTTCTTACTTGTGGTATGCAGATGTTAAAGGCCTAACTGGAAACTATCCAGCTTGAGGCACAGCACCGGACACAAATCCCTTGGTTATGGAATAAAAAATAAAAAAATGTTGCAAAATGTAATTATGCAAAGGTCAAAAAAAGTTCTGAAAAGATCATTCTCACCAGTTTCATTGTTTCAGGAATCTGCTTTATTGGAAAAATGATATCCTTCTATTATGACAGGAATTGTATGTTTATAACTTTCCTTTGAAACTCTATAAACAAGTGCCCTTATTTTTCAGCCCCGTTTTAATAAGGGATTTTATATTGTGTGTAAACAACTACTGCAAATGCCAACAGCTGGATTAAAATTATGAATATACTTTGTCTTTTTTTCCATCTTGTCTCAATGAAACATGCACAACAATCAGTTGATTATAAAATACTTTATTCATTTAAAATCACAGCTTTGGTATGATTTATTTGTATTAAAACAGACTGAAAACTTGAATAATAAAACCCAACAAACACTCCATGCTTGATATCACATCTCTACATCGTTGTCCTCATTCTTCAGTTTACTCCGGAGGCTGTAAGGAGAGAAATTAAACAATGCAGAGGTCAGCGCCATCACTTCATGTAACTATTAAGGCGGAAAAGCAGTATAAAAATCAGATTCCAGATTAACACGAGTATTTCATAAAAAAGGGATGTTTGTCACATTGATCAGCAACTTGAAATCACTAAAACTTATCAAATGAAATCTGGATTAGTTCCCCACCTGCTGAGGTAGGAGTGGACGTCAGAGAAGCCGTGGTACTTGGCAAGAGGGAAGAGGATCCCAGTCGGGCAGCGGCCCTCACGCTTCCGGCAGAAGCTGCAGTTGCAAATGCCACGACAGGGAGGACACTTCCAATCCTGGGAAGATAACCACATAGTAAAACACTTAAATGACTGGGTTAAGAATGAGAGAAAGTAACATGTACAAATATATCAGTATTTAATGCCAACACTAGTCTGCCAATACTTTGAGGTGCCTGCAGGGGCTGCAAATGAACATCAAAGAGACGTGGCCTGTGAACAACCTGGTGTTTAGAAGCAGGCTGATAGATATTGTTTATTTTTTGTCTTGCCACTTAATGGAGGGTTCCTAGAAGTGTAGAGCTACCATAGGGGAAAAGGGTACACTAACAAATGTCCATATTTAAAATATAGTCTGAATGCCACAAAAACATTTGTAATTCAAAGAAATAATCAGGCTCACATTGTGCCACAAATCTTGAAGGGAAGTTAGTTGACTTTTAGTTAGTTAGTTACTTTGCCCTTAAATACAATTAGTCACAGTAAATGCCTTTTTCAGGCCGTGTGAATATACAGAGTTGTTACCCATGTGATCCAATCGTTAAAAGTCTAATATACTTGAGACTTTATTTTAACTGACCAATAATGTCCACAGCAGGATTTTAAAATCGACATGCACTTGTAAAAACAGCCATTTTAAAATGTGTATAAAACATGCCTCAAAATCTCTCTTGATATTTTTGGTAAATAACAATTTCCCTATTTAAAAACTGAGATTATCTTTGGTGCATCTGTAAAGTGTGTATTAGTGTGTTAGCAGCCTCACTGGATCGCGCAGCGCCTTCTTCACATCCTCTCCGTATCTGTTTTTCAGACATGGCCCACAGAACTGACCCACAATCCCTCTGCAGTCCTCACTGCGGCAGCACGTCTTGGTGTCAACTGTTTTCTGACGGCACTGATGACATGTCGTGCCCTGAAAACACACACACAAGTCCACAGGTACGCTGACATTCTACAACATGTCATGCATTGTCTTTAGCTTTGGCTACAACCTCACATGATGTGGGCACACATATTTAAAAAAAGAGCATGTCAGGTAGAGTAGAGCTGGGAAACTCACTGTGTCTCTGTTGTAGACTTTTTCAGTCATGATGTCTGCCACCAGCTCAATCTCTTCCTCTGTGATGTCCTCCACAGGACGGATACAATGAGGCTTGCACTCAGTAGGCCGCGGGGCACGGCGCCGTGGGGCTTGACGTACCTGAAACAAAATGACGATTATAAGTTATTAAGCTTTAAAAAGGTCACCTATCATGCAAAATTCACTTTTTAATGTCTTTTATACATAAATATGTGTCCCCCGGTGTGTGTCAGGAGACTCACAAAGTGTTCGAAAATACAACCCTCTCTTTTCCTCCTTACCCACATCTCTAAAAACGGGGGAACAACGGAGCTGATCCAGATTTGCTGTGGTCATGACGACATATCGGAAATGTGGGCTGGCTTTACTCCCACTGCCCTATCAGAAACAATGCACGACGTGTTTTGGAAGTTATATGGGCCGTTTCTCAATGTCGAGTACACATACTGCAGAGCCACTATTTCAAGTATACTACGTCATCGAGTGGCGCCAAGGACTGTTTAAATGCATGTTAAATGCCCAGCATTCTGCACCACTCTATGACGTAGTATACTTGAAATAGTGGCTCTGCAGCAGGTGTACTCGACATTGAGAAACGGCCATGGTCTGTGTTTACATTAGCAAGCATCGCTAACACTCAGAGCTAACCTGTACTGGAGAGAGTATGTGTAAAAAAGCCGGATATAAAAAGGTACCCACCTTGTGGTAAACGTGTGAGAGAAAAAGCATTTGAGCTCCATACTGTTTCAGAAATAATCCTTGATGTGGTTTGGAACATAATATGGCATTTAATCACGGCAGCATTTAGCTGAGAATCTGGGTAGAATTGTCCTGCATGAGCTCTCCTCTTTTTTTTCTTTTTAAAGCTACGGACCCAGAATCAGCACTTCTCTAACAGGGCAGGGATAGAGGGGTATGAGGCAGGGCTAGAATGGGTGATCTGTTTGGTATTTTGAGCAAAATACTTCATAGACATGTTTTTTATATATCTGAGACCTGTAATATATGCTTACAAATAGTATAATAGGAGACCTTTAAGTTTAACACAGAAAATGACAAGACACCAAATAGGTTAGCTAGCCCTACAAAAAGACCAACACCTGCTCACCTCTTTACAGTACATATTACAAAGATCAAATGGATGATCTAACTAACACAGTTTTCACTCTCTTACTAATCACTTTCTGTGAACGCTTGTATACTGTTGCTGAAGGGTGATACAACACTCATGTAGTTTTAAACAAACCCACACTCCTCCTACAGCACGATACATCCAGTGCTGTAGTACAATGTGTTTCTAAACATTTTCCACTTGTCCTTGATAAATGAATGTGCTGCTGACCTCCAGCAGCTCCTCCTCCAAGCTCCACTCCACTTCTTCCTTCTTAGGGGATAAAGGTCCCTCAAATCCCCCCATAGAGCGAGTCTGTCTGCGAGACGCCCGCTCTGGGTTCCTCCTGGTCTCTCCTGCAGCTGCAGCAGAGCGAGGGGGACGCTGCAGCAGATGGTCAATAAAATCAACTCGGCACAACACTATTAAAACAGAGATCTTCTCAATTCTGAGTTTAAAAAATGTAGCTATCTATCTGTATCTAAATATATTTCTCCTATGGTTTACACTTTCAAGCAAGATATGAATGAATTTCCACCTCCTCTTTTCTTTCTATTAAAAACTGCAAAAACATCTCTATTGTGAGATACTCACAGAATTTTTCTCTTTCTTCATCTCTGGGCCGGCTTGGTTTTTTAGAATCCCTGCACCTCCTGTCATCTTCTTCAGGTCCGACATCAGCTGAGCCAACTGTTAGAAAACATGGAGTGAACAATTATAGACAAGGTCAAATTAGAAGTTTCTCAAGTCAGCAGGGATATTTTTTTTTGCACTAAAAACTAATACAGTTTTTACTACATTCAAATATTATTACGTTTTCATGAACTTTCATTCATTAGTCAAATCTAAGGACATATACTTAAATGATATCCAGGCCCTGGGCCAACCTTTATTATCTGTTTCTACTATATGCAAACATACAAGTATTATTAACTTAGCCACTACTTTGGGAACCACTGTTAAATCAAGCAGTTTTCAAATAGTACAATACTGTAAATAGTTTCTGGTTTACCATTGCTTTGTTGGCCTTGATGGTCCGTTCTCTCTTGTCCAGGAAGGAGGCAGGTACATCTTCTGCTGAATCGGATCCTTGATCTTTCGCAGGATCTACGGCTGTCTCTACATCTTCACATGCAACACGTTTCCTCTTCTTTGCCGGAGTGGTCTTTCCTGCCCGCTTTAGCACTCTCTTCTTGGTCATCTTCTCTTCCTCTTCTGCCTCCTCTTCATCAGTGGACTGCTGGGTAGAGGGAGTGGAGCGAAGTGCCACTCTCAACTGGAATTTTTGGGGCCCAGAAAATGGTTTAGATGTGGCCCTCTGCTTCTTGGGTGAAAGGTCAGGCTGGTCTTCATCTTCCAAATGTGAATCCTGATGGAAAACAAATTAAAATCCAATGGAATTTCTTTTTGGCTACTGATACATCTCTTACACCAAAGTTTTCAAAGTTAAATTGATCTGATTTTGACAACACCTCTAGGTAAAGACAAGTAGAACTGCTGCATTTCTGTTTTCAAACAGGGTAACATTATCGTACGATAATATTCCTAATTTGCCAGCGTTATATTGTAAAACAACCAATAATTGCCTTTACTAAATCTATTTATTGGTTTCATTTTCAATCTGATGCTGGATCTTGCAGTATATTTAGGAAAAGTCACTAGTCTTTTACGTCGATTTCACTGTCAGAATCAGAAAAGCCGTAAAATGTTCTCTCATTTTCTCAGTCCTCCTCGAAAACATCGGTTAACGCTAGTATTTTTGTGGCGGCCTTCATCCCAAAAGTCCCTGCCTGATGCAACATATCACAACAAATGTCGTTGTTAACCATTCATAAAACCATGTATAGTTTGTATTTAACGTTATAATAATAAGTTACTTTACCATATCTATTCTTGAAAACCGTGACCCACTAGCTCCTGCGGTTTTGCTAGGCCCGCCCGCTGCGCAGGTACCTTCATTAATCTGATTGAAAACTAGAGATGCTTGTTTTGAAGCTCAGAGCAACACGGTTGCACAGAATGAAGTATCGAACCTTATCGCTTATTAACTCCGCCCTAAGGGGAGGAAATTATGATGAAAACGTGCGCCCTTTCAAGACACAAATGTTTTGCCTGAGTTACTGATAACTTTCAAAAAGTTGTACTATCGAATATTGTCGTGATAAAATGAACGTAAAAATGAGTTTTTCCAAGCAAATTGAAAAATAGATTCATAAAAAGACCTGGCATGAATTGAGTCACAGCAAAGGTGAGTGTGTTTGTGTCAGTATAGGAAACATAGACAGAATATACATTAATTGTGTGTAAGCAAAGCTGTGTTCAAGGAGACCCATCTTCAAAGATAAAAAATACTCACAAAACTAAATGTAAATCAAAACCAGTAGATTCTAAGTGGTCATTTTAACCTTTTGAGAGCTAACTATCATCATTCTCATAACAACAATGCTGCACATGCCCCATTTTACATCATGTTAGCATGATATTACTAACAAAGCAAACAAAAAAACATCACAGCTGTAGGTTGCTTCTTTACTAAATGTATTTATTGTTCTGTTAAACATAATAACTTGTGTAAGTGTGTGTGCTTTGCATTTTCTTCAGCAAATTGGAATGGCATCAGTTATTTGATCATTAACCAACATATTGTACATTTTCATAATTTTTGATTTGGCAATCTGCATTATTTAGATTGAAAAATCCTAATTTCAATTTAGTTTGTCATGATTTAATAAATGCATCCTGATTATGGCATAATATATCATGATTCTGACTTGTTTCTAATATGTAAGCTATTCTGTTCTTTTCCCTTATAATTTGGCTTCTACGTATTTTAAGGGACCCTGACAGAATGATGCTGACAACACCCCACAGCTGCAGACAACAGCCCCCTTGAGTGCTGTTGCTTTACAGTGGCAGATGATTATGTTGATAAAGGTCCTGTATTCCCACATCCCTTTGTGTGGCAGCGGGATATGTTGTACATGCAGGTGTGTGGCAGTGGGAGTGATGCTTGGGAACGTGGGAACCTCCTCTCACATTCCCAGGACTGATAAATACTCACTCCTTGCTTGGCCAGTCCTGACTCTGTGACCATGATCCTGCAGCAGTGGTGGCTGATGTTGGCTGTGGGTGAGTGAATTTGCTTTTAAACTGTTGAGCTGCATGTGTATTGTTTGTATTTGTCTGGTTACATTTCCATGGGAATTGTTGCTTGTCTGCTGTAACCCCTAACCTAAACAAGAATCATCATTAAAAACGTTTATTAAGACATGAAATATTTAAGTTTTCGTTAATTCCCTCAATTTGACATGGTTCCAACTCTCTGTAAAAATTATAGTTACAGCTATGTCAACCTCCGTCTAGGCTTTTTGCATACAAATAATGTTGCATATAGGTCTTTATATATGCTACCATTGAATACCCCTTTTAACTGCAGTGCTGATAAAACATTCTGGGAAAGAGTGTTTCTCCTAGCAAGCATTAGGAAACACTTGATGAAAACTGAACACTGAGATCATTCACAGCCACTAATAGTGTGATAGCTGCAAAAACATTGTGAATATTGTGGCTACTGATACGAAGCACTTTTAGGTTTCTTTGACTAACCCAAAAGCAAATCTTACATGATTTCACTACATAAAATGGGTGAGCAAGTCTAATTGATTAGTGCAACTGATGTTGATTGTCTTTGTTAAAAACATTTAATAAATGTAATGACATTTCAAGTGATATCGGCTTCAAGAAATCATTATTTAGTGTATAATGGAACCATCACCAATTAAGTTCTGTCTTAGAAACTCAAATAATAAAGCTGTAGATTGTATTGAAATATTTATTTTAGACACCACTTTAGACACCATTGTTGGCTTGAAAGACACCATTTCTGCCCAACTACAACGCTGTCTGTCTTTTATTCTCCTACCAGAGTGCATCTTTATTTGCATCACCGGCCAATCTTCTCCTCAGAAGAGACAGTGTGCATTCAAAAATACTATTGCGAACAAACAATTTGAAGATGCGGGTGATGTGAATGGGTCGGTCCAGGTCTGTGAGAGCACCCAATGCTGCGTGGGCTATTATCGGATCATCAATGACCAGCCACGGGCTGACATTCTCGGTAAGAAACTGTAGTGAAATATCATGAAAAGAACCTCTGGATTAATCTGCCAGGTCTAGATTATTATTCTTGTACCATTAGAAGAGTCATACACATTTCTAGTGTTTCCTCTAACAAATCATGCTGTGATGTATATTCGCATAATGTAATTGGTTACACTGCAGGTTCTCAGTTTGTTTCCTATGAGGGTCCATGGTGTTACTAATTTTTCTGTTCTCGCAGCTTGTGATATTGTTGAAAAGTCTTGCCCAAACAACGCCTGCATAGCACAACCAGCACAAGTACTGAACAACATTACCTCCATCAAATGTGCGTGCAACACAGACCTCTGCAACAACAACATCAATTGGACCTCAGAGTCGGAAGAGCCTCTACCCACCTACTCTTATTCTATGGGTATGATCAGAATCAGATTACTATCTATATCTTATCACTTGCAACCAACATAGTGTTGGTATTATCCTGATATTGTTAAGTACTTTTCTTTTTATAACAGAACATTGTATCATTATCTATTTGTTTATAGTCTGTGCATTTCCACATACGTCTTGTCCAGTGAAAACCCCCCTTTTACTCCCTTTTTAAAGTCTTTCTTCTTTTGTAAAGTAATGAAAACACTCAATTGTCCAGAACGAATTACAATTTATCATTCACAGATAACAATAACAAAAACCTTTTGTTTTCTTCCCAGGTAAAAAAAAAGCTGCTGTGATTATTCTTATTGGAACTCTGCTAGTCCTGTGGCTCATAATTATGATATTGAAAGAGAAACGTAAGATCCTTTTTGTTTTCAACATTAGAAAAAAGTAAAATACCGCCCTGTATAATTTAGAGGTAAAAAATGGTTATTAAATGAAACTGACCTGATTTAGGTATGCATTATTGTAGTAGGTTTTAACACCAGTTTTTGTCACAGTGATTATTGACAGGATATAGGGAAAGTATTTTGTTGTTGTTAATAATAATGTGTAATTTTGCTTTGATTTATATAAGCAGAAATGTTGCGTTAAAAATACAATAAGTCTATTGACATTAAAGTATGTTAACTGTTGATGTTTGTATAGGAGGTACATTTACACAAGAGGAGATTAAAAAGGGAAGACGATACTGTTAATTCTGTGTGAAATGCTCTCTCATTCTTGAAGTATTACACGTTTCCGCACTTTTAAACTCAGACTCCGTTCTCATGATGTCTTTGTTTGACCTTGTGACTGTTTCATTCTCTGTGGAAGACTGACCTTGGTGTTTATCTCTTCAATAACACCTCCCTACCTCTGTCCTTTGTTTGTTATCAGATTCCTGTGCCTTTTTAAAATGTTTCTTTTGATAACCATACCCATCCTCTTTTTTTAGCGGAGAATCCACCCTCCCCGGATGCTGACAGTGTCTCACGACTGTGTTCCTGCCAAACAAGAAAAACCTCTGAGATTGACTTTGCTGACATTGAACTACAGCAGGTAAGCCCAGATATGGATTCATTCTATTTTGGTTAGCAGTGAGTAAAATATTGCTAAATCTTTCAATGGATTTATCTCGACATATTACCTGTATGTTCAAACCTTTTCAGATTGTGGGCCGTGGGCATTTTGCCACTGTCTGGGAGGGGAAATACAAGGGATCCATGGTTGCTGTGAAAGTTTTCCCTGAAGGATGGAAACATACCTTTACTGCAGAGAAGGAGGTCTATGAGCTACCACTGATGAAGCATGCTGGGATTGTCAACTTCCTGGGCTCTGGGAGGACACCATATGATAGCAGTTGGCTAATTGTCCTGCAATTAGCTGAATATGTGAGTGGAAAGTAGGTTTTATTTTATTTTAAATGGGATATTCCATTTCCTGAGAGATCAAATGTTATTCTGAGACAAAGGTGAAGGAAAACAGAAAAGAGTTGGGGCAAGAAAGCAAAGAAAGAGGGTTTGACTCTGATAGGAAACTAAATATTTAAAAATGCTCATAGTGATGAACCTACTGAGACATATCACCTGAATTGGCAGCTCCCCTTAGCTTTTCCAGAGCTTTATACTGAGTTTCAGCTTATGTATTGATAAGCTTTCCATCCTGCAGAAGTAGGCAGTAAGCTTCAGCACCAACCAACAGACAGACACTTTTAGAGACTCTTTAACTACTTTTAGAAACAAGTGAACAAACTAGAGAGGTGATCAGGTAAAGAGAAATTACAATTTAAAAAAAAAAAATAAAAAAAAAAATGTTTCTTTGTAACAGCTGGATGTGTAAATAACCAACTGCTTTCCACCAGATCAGTCAAAATAACCTTAAAGGTTTTAATCTTCCTACAGTTTTTCACCCCATATTCTTAAACACTCATTTTTATTGTACAAATGTGGCCAAACATTAAACGCTTTAATGTTCAGATTCTTAGACATTCATAACTGACATCCCTTTGATTTCAGGGCTCTCTCCACTCCTATCTGTGTAAACACACCACCAACTGGATGTTGTCAGTGAAGCTGTGCCAGTCTTTATCGCAGGGAGTTTCCTATCTCCACTCTGACCTTCACATACATGGTATTGGCCAGAATATTATTTTTGAACAATTGTGTGCGTGTGTGTGGTGGGCAAGTCTGTGTTTTATCTTACTGGTTTACAAAGCATGCCTGTACAATCGTATGGGTCTATATCCACATTGTTGCTTCAATATCAAACATGACTAATAATTTTGATTATAATGTTTTTATATAACTATTATACATTAAGTATTTTAAAACTATTTGAGATCCCCACAGCTGTTTAAAACAGCTCACATCAATATAAAGACGAAGCAGGCTCCACAGTTAAACAAGCTTAATGAATGAAGTCTTTCTGGATCTATTAAATCCACTGTTGTCAAATAAACAAACAATTAGAACATTCTTATTGTAGCACATGTGTGTCTTTTCTTGCAGATATGCATAAACCCCCTGTGGCCCACAGAGACTTCAGCAGCTCTAACGTGCTTGTAAGAGCAGATGGTACCTGTGTCTTGTGTGATTTTGGATGCTCAACCATCCTGAGATTTTGTTCAGGACATCACAGGTTCCATGCGACAAACATAGAGGTGAGACCCTGGTGGAGCCACAACTTATTATTGTTAGGGTACGGCACAGTGAAACCATAATAGGAGTAAACAGTAAATGATATGCAATAGGTCGGCTTTTCCGTTCATCAGAATCCCTACAAAAAGAAATGAATATATGCAGAGGGAAAAACCTATTACATTAGAAACAACTAATTCCCATGACTCTCCATCTGCAGGCCCATGCTCAGTTGGGCACGCTGCGCTACATGCCCCCTGAGATCCTGGAAGGCTCTGTGAACCTCAGAAACGGCTGGTGTCTACTGCAGGGAGACATCTACGCTCTGGCCCTGCTGCTGTGGGAGATCTTGATGCGTTGCTCTGATTTATTTGAAGGTAAAAACTCCTTAGATCAGATCATGCAAAGCCATCAGTAAATGTGATGGGCTTCTAGATCTGTACACTCTTAACAGCCCTATTGTAATCTACAGAAACGCTGTACTTCATTTAGATTCAAGATATATTTGAAATGGAAATATTGTCGACTGCATAGTATATTTTAGTTGCGATTGTTTTTTGGATATCTTGCACATCATTTTTATTGTATTTATGTTGGTGGTCTTATATTCTTTATTTATGTTTGTTGATAATTCTGACTTTCTTTAGTTTACCATTTATTTTCTCTTACTATGTTTGTGTTATGCACTAATACACCAAAGCTAATTCTTTCTATCAAACCAACAAAATGTATATTTGTTTATTTAAGAACGCCACACGTTAAAATATAAAAAAAATATGAACTTAAACGTTTATAATACTGCAAATGTCTGCTTTCACTTTCCTTTGTAGTTTTTTGCTGAATGAGCTGTACAGTATCTCTGTGCACTGCTTGGATACACGTCATGTCATGAGACTAAGCGGATGTTAAAATGCATGCAAATGTCTCCATCTGCAGGCGGTGTTGCTCCACAGCATCTGTTGCCTTATGAATTAGAGCTGGGAGCCGATGTAACCCTGGAGAGCCTCATCCAGTATGTGTTTCACATGGAGAAAAGACCCTCCATACCTAAAGACTGGGGACTGCTACCACAGGTATTCTCACACAGTGCTACTCACTGGAAAATGCTGTTTTCTGTATTTGCAAAGATACATGAACTGATATAGCTGATCAAATGTTTAAGATAGTTGATTTAGTTTGTCAATATATTAAAAAAAAATCTCACAACTTTCAGGGATTTGTGCTGCAGGAGCTCCTGACAGATTGTTGGGACTGTGAGCCGGATGCTCGACTGACCGCTCAGTGTGTATTGAGCAGATTAATGAATCTTCAGTCTTCTTACTCTTCATGATATGTTTTCCTTTTATGGGGAGATAACTTCTTATAATTTACATATCAGAAATCTGCACTGTCCTATTTGTTTCACTACTTTTCAGCTTTTCAATATTTAGATCTGTATATTTAGACCCTTGTTAAAGCATGGCTTCTTCTTCTTGACTGCAACATGTTCCCATTAATCTCTTTCATTCTATTAAATATTTACAACTTTATTAATTAATTGTTATCCAGAAAAATGATAAAAAATGAAAACACTCGTATATAATTGCATAATGAAATAAAAATGTTTTTGTGAAATACATGCCTTACTTTAGCAATTATCTGTTACTTTGTGTTACTTTACAATTTTAGGTAAGATGTATGATTTTGATTTTATATTGAAATAATAAATGTTCTGAAAGTAAAGATACTCACAACTAACAATTACACTTAAAGTAATTGGGCATTTTTACAGCAGTCATTTAACTTGCCATGTTAGAAAATTAATAGGATGATTGAAGTCTTTTTACTTACAACATTTTTTAAATGACACCTTATAAAATAAATGAAATTCTATTGGACTGTTTTTACTGGTGTATGCAAGCTCAATGTGAAACAGTCATGACTTAATGAGACATTTTTATTGAACATTATCATTATTAATGTTATTAGTAACACTGCTTTTTCTAGCTGTGAAATTGTCTGCTGTGAAAAAGACCTGAAGTTTACATATTTTAACTGAACAAAGCCATTATTGTTTTTAGTTCCAGATGTGCATTTCCTGTAACAACATTGCAAATATTTGTTGTAAAAAAAACATATAGATGTTGGTAGGATATTTGTAAAAACAAAACAAAAAATGTTGATGCTCACCGGTTGGTTTGAAAATAGTTATTTGTATTAATACCTTTTTGTGCCAGATTTTGGTTTAATAAAGCCAGCCTTTTACATGTTGAGCCGTGATGTCCTTGATTGATGTTAGGTGTGTGTGTCATGGGCAAAACCAATGCTGCTCACAATGTTTGGGAGGACACATCATTAACATTATCTATTGTAGCTCAGAAACACGTAGATCAGCCTTTTATCATAGCCTGTTGGACTTTTGCCATTACGTAAATAAGGTGCGTAACCTTTAACAACGGGCGTGGCTTCCTGATGCATCTCTGCTGCTCAATGCGGAACAAATACAGAACTCCGGAACTCAAGATTCCTGACAATCTGCTGGAAGTTTCCAAGGTAAACCCACGACATTCACAAACGCATATTTTGAGTCGCATTTATGGACCAGAACAAATATAAACTACAACAATCAGAATATTAAGACTTTGATTTGTGCTTTCCGTCATATTGTGGTTAAATGAGGAAGGTGTTGGGGAAATGACTGGCATAGAGACCACAATTTATGTTAAGCACGTCATGACCCGTTTTGGGTGTATTTATGTCGTGTGGGAAAGTGACTCTAATCCATGTTAGCACGCTGTATAGTGTATTATTCAAGTACTTTTCTTGGTAATTGTAAAGTTTAAAACAAGTCATTTCCGTTAAGTTTCACTGCTTGACTGTATTATTAGACCTATACAGTCTATAGATTAGAATATTTGTGTATCTTTATCTTTAGCAATCATTTGTATTTTAACAACAAATCAAGAGCAAAGCCTAAACTCATCACACAATCAAATAAACTATATACAACATGTGTTGACAAAGCATGATATCATTAGAAATAATGAACTACATTGTTTGGAAAAAAACGTGGTGACATGTTTGATATGGATTGTATCTTTCCCTACATTCTAAATAAATGATAAAAGACAGTAGTTTTTAGCCATATAATGTCATTTTAATTATGTATTACGGCATTAATTCTCCATTGTTTCCTCAGGGTTTTTGCGACGTGTGTTTTCCTTGTCACATCAAATAAGCACAACCATGTGGCCAAATCAAGGTAAGGAAATCATATCATCAAAGCTATTTTTTCTTAGGCCTAACTTATATAGATGTTCTGAGCAATATTGTGTGTTTGCTTTTTTTTAGGTCCTCCCCCTCCGATGGGCCCCCAAAACCCTGCCTACCCACCTGGCTACAACCCTGCCTATCCTGCTGCACCTCCATCAGGGGGACTATTTCCCCAACCTGCACACCCAGCATACCCGGCTGGGCAACACCCGGCAGGACCATATCCGGCTGGGCAATACCCGGCTGGGCAACACCCGGCAGGCCCATATCCGGCTGGGCAATACCCGGCTGGGCAACACCCGGCAGGACCATATCCGGCTGGGCCATATCCGGCTGGGCAATACCCAGCAGGACAATACCCAGCTGGCATGAACCCAGCCATGGGACCAAATGTACATCCAGGGGCGATGCCTTATGGAGCTCCTGGCCAGCATCCTTATCCTATGGCTCCAGGTGGATATCCAGTCCCTCCTGGGGGTGTTCACCCAGGTCCATACCCCCACTCTCCAAAAGGTGGTCACCATAAAGGCCACAAAGGTGACCACAAAGGTGACCACAAAGGTGACCACAAAGGTGACCACAAAGGTGGCCACAAAGGTGACCACAAAGGTCATCATCATGGAGGCCTAAATCCCATGGGTATGGGGGGAATGGCTGGAATGGGGCTGGCCGGGCATAAAGGCCACAAAAAGATGAAGAAGATGAAGAAGATGAAGAAAGCACATAAAGGGGACAAACACGGCAAGGTGAGATTATGTTTAAATCTGTAAAAGCTGTTTAGAATGGATCCTCTCGTAGGTGAAGGATTATTGCCAGTACTAGATAAAAAGATGAAACTTGACCTTTCTTACGCCCCTCTGCCCCGGGCCTCCGGGACATTGTCATGTCAATCTGAAGTCCTGCACTAAACAAAGAAAGCGCAATCATGACTCAACAAGTGCAAAGTGCAATACAACTGAAGAGACACAACACTGTTTGGAATTAACATTCTTGATGAGGGATAGGCTATTGATTATAATTACTATAGAGAATAATTATATTGCAATGGCACAACAAAACTATCAATAACCAGTTGCTAGATTGGATAATGAAACATGATGATTGCCTGTACAAGCATAGAAAAAACAATCGATTATACTAATTGGTTCTGGAAAGTAAAGTTTTGTTTTCTACAGCTCTTTTTGCAAATTCTGCAACCACATATGATAATTATTTGTAAACATTCAATCAATAATTTGCTTTATAATGTGCTTAAAAATAGTGACCTCAGGACCTATTCAAAATAGACATCTTTAAAAATGCTCTTTTATGCAGTGTAAATAAAGGGAAACGTTTCCTGTTTGTGTTTCAAGCTATAATTAAAAGGCTATTAAAATTTGAATACGTACATAACCTTTCTTTTTCTTTCCCCACAGTCCTCCAGCAGCAGTAGCAGCAGCAGCAGCAGCAGCAGCAGTGACTAAGACCGAGGCTTCCACTTTGAGGGAAGGCTTTCACAGAAATGTCATTTTACAAAAGGACTATTAACAATAAACACACAAAGGTCATAATTAACACTTTTAATAGAATGTAAAAAAAATGCGTCACAGAACACTTCCATAGCATTTAGCTTTACTTGCATTCTATCATGTCTTACATCTTGTTTTGGTTTGTGGGTGTTTTATTACAAATGATCCATAGTGTGACATATTGAAATTATTTCCAAAGTGTGTTATGCTATATTAAAAAAAAATCTTACATTGTAATTTTGTAAAATAAATTGTGTATATTGTATTTTTTTCTTCTTTAGGAAGATTAATAATATAGATACTGAAGCTTTGTATGTATGCCTATTGATTTGTTTTCCTTCTACAACACATGACTGCAGAAATCGTTATTCTGCATTGCTTTGTATCATCACTAATTGTATTTAAATATAAAGGTTATTCAACTAACCTTCTCAATAAATACTTTTAAAGGAAAAATCTACGTGGGTGTTTTCCTCAAGATAATAAATAATTGAAGTTATTAGTTGCTTATTTTTTGTATATGACATCCTTTAATTGAAATGCTATGTTGTTCTTATGCATAATGTTCGACAAATGTGCAACTGTAACTTTTTTAAGAGGATATTTGGGGCACCTGCAGGTCACACTGAGGAGGGGGGTTTTGGTTGGCTGATAGGGGAAAGTTCAGAGGTTATAATTGTGTTGTCTTTGTGCAAAGGAGTGGAGCTCGATCTCACATCATCACTCTTCCCTCTTCCTTTCTAAACTCTCCCCCGGGTTTCTACCCACCCGAACCTCTCCCCTTCTACCCTTACAACCCCAACCCTCCCCCCGGTCACGTACCATCTCTCGAATCAGGTAAGTTTTATTCAACTGTGCTGTTCTTATATTTCTGTTATGATCTGAAGTAGCAGAAAGAAATCGCGCCCAGTAGCTACGGGCTGCTTCCCCAGTATGCTAACAGGCCGCATGATGATGAGCACGCAGTCTCCGTATGATCCGGCTAGCTTAGCTAACCACGGAGGAGTTTGATTGTGATGTTAGTCTAACCTCCTGTTTAGTCTATGGTGCCTGCCTTTGATCCAAAGAACAACTAACTTCCATGTAACGAAAGCGTCCGATATTTTGACAGCTATTAATAACATTGGCTAATCAAGCTAACTAGCTAGCTTTGCTAAGTAGCGCACGCATGCCCCATTCATTTTCCAGCATGCTAAATGGCTAACAAGAATAGTTAATGGACTTACTTTAACCTAAACAACACATGCTAAGTATGCATTTAAATGTCTGCTGTTCACGTAAACATACTTATTTATGGATATTATGAAATGTGTTTAACTACAGCGTGGGGGGTAAATCAATCGCACTTCTGTTGACACACTTGATTCATCGCTAATGATGAAGACATCGTTAGCATCCAAGCAGTAGCATGGAGATGGATTCATTTAAATATTTGGTGTTTTGAGTTAGATAATTTGGGTCGGGGCACTCCTCGGATGTTTGAAAATAAATGCAGCAAACTAACAGCGTGTAGTTGGCACAGTAAAAGTGAGTCCTAAGCTATTTAATCATGATTAATGATAGTACGCATCACTTTCATTAGCATGAGCTGTGACACAGATTTACCATTTTCTCTTTGAATAGGTTTATTAAGGAGAAATTTGTCTAATGGAATACCAGGTATAATCATCACATATTTTCACATTTGACGTTTATTGTTACACATTTAGCCTAAGTATGTTTCATGGTCTGGTGTTAACTGAATGTGTTAGTTTGATTGCAGATATCTGGGTTTAATGGGCCTTTACATTCTTTGTGTTATGCTGATATTTAAATATGTCCCCATTTTAATGATATATCTTTATCCAACAACATAATCTGAAATTCTGAAAAGTATTACAAAATCTCAAGGGGTCAGAAAATTGTATATTAGACAAAGCTAAGATGTGAACTATTAACTCACCATGGGTGTAAATATTGATGTAGTGAATGCTAATGCTGAAATTACAAGCACACCAAATTCCTTACTCTTGTTGTCTTAAATTGCATCCATCTTTTTTCTTGTTCTTCTTAGATAATCCTGTAAGTGCACATGATGTGGTATATCATTGTTTGTCTGCTATGCCCTTTTTAGATCGAACTCGGTGACCAAAGTCCCCAGTTCTGCACAGACCCCCAGGTTGCAGTTATGGACTCCGGTGTGATTGAAGGAGGACTCAATGTCACCCTTACCATAAGGCTGCTCATGCATGGCAAGGTGAGGCCACCCATCAGCTGCTGGTGTCAGCACTGTAGTAATCTATGACGTTATATTTATGGAAATGTGAGATACCAGCCGAATAAAGGGCAGCTCTTTGATGTGATGAGCAAGGGTATTGACTTGGTGACGGCATCCTGTATTGCCAAGAATAGTGTGGAGTGCTATTTTGGCATGTTCCTGTGTTTGAGCTTTCACAAAGGAGACCTTGATTGTCTCATCTCTAAATTTGTTGTTTTCAAAATTGAATCCATTTACCTAAAATATTAATGTTTCCT